ATTCCTCTGTGCGTAGCCCTTTCCTGAGGTGGCTGCCAGCTTTGTCGTGCCTCTTGCCAAAGGAGACTGAGGGGTTCCCCACTTGCAGGACTGCCTCGACGGTGAGCAAGCTCCTCGGATCGGACACAGACATGGACAGTGTGGGTTTTAGAGCGGTCACGGGTATTGCTTTGCCAGCGATTTGTCTGGAAATTGTAAGGATTTGTGCATAACATGATACATTTTAAAATTCTTTTTTTTATGAGCGCAGACATGTCCTCTCCTTGGTAGGCGCTGTTGGCTGTTTGATGCGTAGTTCTGCTGTCAGGCTGCGCTCTGACAAGACACAGCCCTGTCAGATGGCAAAAGGAAGAGTGTGTACCGCACGTCACTGCCGTCTAGGTCTTGAGCAACCCCTGCTCTACTGATGGCCTCTAGAGTTCCTCCTAACCAGCACTGCACCCGTCACTATCCTGTAGAAGTGAGTTACAAACAGTAGAGGACTAGGTCGTTTAGTTCGCTCTGGTATACCACGGACGTAGGTGGGCAGTATGCATGGTTTGGATCCTGGCTCTGCTGCTCCTAGCCAGAATTCGGATAACGTCACTTAACTTTCTCATTCCTACCTCAATGCTAGATGTCGAGGAGAGCGTGAGTCAGGTATTAGGTAGAGAGTGCTTTCAAACACGTGCCTGGGAGTGAGACGGGTGAGTGCTCGGGTGCATTCACTGTCTCTACGATTCTCAAATTGGCTGCCTTTTGGGAAGGAAGCTGAAACGAGTCCCTTGCTGGGAACCTGTGGCGGAGGGGTAGGAGGTCCGTTTCCGTGAATTGATGTGGTGCACATCATATGAAGACCAGATTTCGTAAGGGATGAACGTGTGTAAGCCGAATCCTGAGTAACAGGACCTTGGTTAGAGAAGGAAAACTAGACCGCTGAAACGCGGGATGCCCGAGGCGGGTAGAAACATCCAGACAAAAACAACGCTGGCGAATGGACGACTGAGAACATGGCTGCAGGAAGGTACCAGGGTTGTGGAAGAGGGCAAGGTGACGTGAGGCACAGTCCGTGTCTCTCAAAAAGTTTCAGGCCATGCGTTCTGTTCTTCAAAGTCCAGCCTTTCCTGCCGTGTGGGGATTGTCTGACCTCTGCTGTCCACTGTCTGCTATGGCACAAATTTACAGATGGCCGCAGACTAAGAGGAGGCACTAGTGGGGAGACGCCTTAGAGATGTACTTTTCTCCAACTTTGTGGACTGTGACTCTAAGTAAGAAATATATCTTATACTGTGATTCCACACACAAGAGTTTTTTTTTTTTATTTCGGCATATTATGGGGGTACAGATTTTAAGGTTTCAATAAATGCCCATCTCCCCCCCTCCCCCCAAAAGTCTGAGTCTCCATCATGACCATTCCCCAGATGGTGCACACTCACTCATTATGTATGTATATACCCCCCCCTCCCCCCTCCCACCTGCCCAATACCCTATTACTGTAGTACCTATGTGTCCACTTAGGTGCTACTCAGTTAATACCAGTTTGCTGGAGAAATATATCTGGTGCTTGTTTCTCCATTCTTGGGATACTTCACTTAGTAGTATGGGTTCCAGCTCTAAGCAGGAAAATATAAGATGTGCTATTCACCATTGTTTCTTAGAGCTGAATAGTACTCCATGGTAACAATACCACATTTTATTAATCCATTCTTGGATTGATGGGCACTTGGGCTGTTTCCACAGCCTTGCAATTATGAATTGTGCTGCTATAAACATTCGAGTGCAGGTGACTTTTTTGTTAGAGTGTCATTGGGATCATTTGGGTAGATGCCCAGCAATGGGATTGCTGATCAAATGGTAGATTCACTTGTATCGCTTTAAGGTATCTCCATATTGGCTTTCCACAGAGGTTGAACTAGTTTGCATCCCACCAGCAGCTGTAGGAGTGTTCCTCTCTCTCCGCAACCACGCCAGCATTTATTGTTTGGAGATTTTTTGATAAAGGCCATCCTCACTGGGGTTAAGTGATATCTCATTGTGGTTTTTTTTTGTTTTTTTTTGAGACAGAGTCCACTTGTTGCCAGGCTAAGCCACTCCACCTCTAGGCCCGGGGAAAACAGAGTGAGACTCTGCCCCTCCCGATGAGTTGGTTTTCACACACAAGAGTTTTCACAAAGCAATTTTTACCTTTACTATGTGTGAGCACTCTGATATTTTCTGTACTTTTATATTTTATTTAATGAATAAGAAAAATGCTGGTGGTAATCCACTGAGTTGATGTCACACACCCAGGTTTTCAGGAATTTGAAAACATTCATTGACTATACTAGATTAGTACCCCAGTTTCTCAAACTTCAGTCAGTGTGTACCATACCTCTTTTGAACCTTTAGCCACGTCCAGGGAAAATTGTTTATGGAATGAGATTATCTCTTCTTTAAATCAATTCACTTAAAGCATCTTTAAACATTTTTAGATGCTTACTATAGCCTAAAGTAAAATATTGGCAAAATGGAAGTTTCAGGGTTAGTCATATTGTTTTCCCCACTTAAATATTATAAAGATTTTAAAAATGTTTCTCTACCATCTAAAAATCACTTTGCACACCAGCACTGATCTGCATGTCTCACCTTGGGAAATAGAGATTTAGAGATTTGTCCAAATACCTCATTTTACAGAGGCCCAGCCAGGTGAATTCACTTATCTGAGGCTACCCAGTAATCACAGTTGCCCTAATTTCTTAGTCAATGGGAAGAAATGTGTTATCTTAGCCCACTCCTGGCCAAATGCTGGCTGTCAGTCTTATGACTTTGGAGAGAAGGCTCCACCCTATAACCTCATCAGAGCCCAGATATGAGTGTATAGACACCATGCAGAGCCGTTTTAAGACCTTGGTCAATCCTATACATTCTTATTTTTGGGAGTACAGATCTATATCATATGATGCATATTAAAATGTATCCACATTTGGATAATTTCAATTTTGTTTTCTTTCTGTATTTTGAAGCCAATGACATTTTTATGCCTCAACCATTTTCGGAGGCCCTCGGAAAGTTCACAGGCCCTAGGACTATACAGCCTGTTGTGACTAATGGGTGAAGTGGTCTTGGGTCTGGTAAGGGAATCTGATCAATGAATACACACTAAGTAGCAATTTAATTACTTACCCCCTCTCTCCTGGTCTTTTAAAAGGGGGGATGTGGACAGACCACTGACACTAAATACGAGTTTCCACTGGTGAAATCTTTGCTATTCTGGCAGACTGGTGGGGACAGTGCCTTTGCAGGTGGGCCACATGCTGTGTGACTGGCAGGATGTTTTCCCTCTGAGACTCAGTTTCTTCGTAGTAAAAACAAAGGGATCAGACTAACTTGATGATTTTTCAAATATTTTATTTTAGCCTTGGGTCCCTTTTGCAAATGAAATCTTATGAGGCTACAAGCAGACATGGGATAGATAGACTTTTTAGAGTCTAACAGATATACAGATAAGTTTTTGAAGACATCCAGGAGAGCTTCCCCTAGGTGCATGCAAAGATACAGAGGTTTCCTACAGACGGGAAAGGGTAGGTTTAGGGACCTACCTGAGGTCTTGATTAGATCTTAGCACTAAAGAATAGCAGCATAGTGTTTTTCATACCTCTTTGACAGTGATGCACAGTAAAAAATAAAGTTTATTTCAAGACATAGTACATGTCACAAGTTTTCACAAAATATACCTTTATACTATAAAATAAAAGACTGTCCCATACATAGGTTGGGTCAGGGATGTTGTGGGAATATAAACTACAAACCTCTTCTTGGAAATCAATTATATTTGATATATAGGATTTTAATGATAAAAGGATAAAATCCTGACAAAAGGATTTTAATGAGATTAAGCCCTCTTCTAAGAAGCCAGTTTCCTAGGATCTCACCTAATGTTGACCTTGGGAGAGATCAATGGCCTTTAACTGTCTTTCAATAAATCTATTAATCCTTAACCAAAACACTTTTTTTCTTATATGTAGTCTAACAATGATTATCTAGGCATTCTCTTTTTCTGTAAAATGTCCTTACCAATGGGTACTTGTGGAATAGTCCTAGTAGAAGCCCAGTCTCTTGCTGCAATGTTATAATAAAAACTTTGACACTAGGTCATAACTAAATTGTCCAAACCTACCTCCTTTTCCCCTTCCCCTTTCCTTCCTTCATTCCTTTCCTCCCTTCTTCCTTCCTTCCTTTTAAATGGCGTGATACACTCTGATATTTTTTGTTCTATTTAATTTTTAAAATGCTGATTGTGACCCACTACATTTATTTCATCAGTCTTTAATAGTTTCAACTGGAAGCTTAAAACTATGGAGATAGCAATCCTTGTGGGTCAGTTTATTAAGACAGAAACACACTGTTGCCATTATGAAATGAAATCAGAGAAGGAAACCAGGTAAGATAAAGGGACATGGTGAGAGGTGAGAAACTGTCTTTTGAAACTTAAAAAAAAAAAAAAAATTAAAAGAGGGGGGTTATGCCATAAACTTTGAGAATATACTTGCAATGCAAATAAATGAGAACTTGTAGTCAGCATATTTAAAGGACTCAAAAAAATAAGAAAGAAAAAGACAAGAAAAAAGAAAAATTAGCAAAGGGTATAAACAGACAATTCACAGAAAAGGGAACCTACAAGGGTAATAAGCATATGGAAAGATGCTTTTCCTCTGGGGTCTCCAACCCCCTGGTACCCATCTGTGGCCTGTTAGGAACTGGGCTGCACATCAGGAGGTGAGCAGCAAGTGAACAAAGCTTCATCTGTATTTAAAGCTGCTCCCCATCACTCACATTACCACCTGAGCTCTGCCACTTGTCAGATCAGTCACTGTCTCCCATCACTCCCAGATGGAGTCATCTACTTGTAGGAAAACAAGCTCAGGGCTTCCACTGATTCTGCATTATGGTGAGTTATATAATTATTTCATTACATATTACAATGTAATAATAATAGAAATAAAATGCACAATAAATATAATGTGCTTGAATCATTCCAAAACCACCCCCCACCCCCAGTCCATAGAAGAATTGTCTTCCATGAAACCGGGCCCTGGTGCCAAAAAGGTTGGGGACCGCTCCTCTACCTCATTAGCAGACAGGAAAGGACAGGGCTCAGAATTACTGAAGCTGTTGAAACGTGGAGGAGGGGCTGTGTAGAGCTGGAACTCAGACTTCTGAGAAGGGTGGTGGCTGGCTGGTACTGGTGTTCTGAAGTGGGGTACAATAAAAATTTGTTCTTCAAACATTAGAATGTTACAAAGCAGATTCAGCTGGCACTAAGGGATGGCACTGCTGCTGCCAGGGTGAAATGCTGCTGGTATGAACTCAACATGGAGCCAGGTGGCAAAGTAGAAATATGGTTTTTGGAGACCTTAACCCTAGCTACAAAACTGAGTATAGAAGTGGGGGTTGGAGCCGAGGACAAAATCTAACTGCCACAGTCAATCTTATTGGTTAATCAGCATTTATATTTGAACTTCCATACCACAAACAGGGTTTCTTCTACCTAACACAATGCAACTATTCTTCACAGAAATAAAGATGTTACTACCCTCTCCTCAAAAATGAAAGTTCCAACAGTCATTGTATCCATCTCTGGGCTATAATAATTACTCTGTAAATGTAGTCACAGTCTAACAGCGGATATTCTGTTGCCTAAAGACCAAATTGTAAGGTTAATCTTCAACAAAATGTATATAAAATAATCATGAGCAGGAGGCTTCTAGGCAGAGTGAAGTAACAGAAACTGGATTTACCCTCTTGCCTTAAATAACTGAATATACAGTATGGGTAACACACACACAGAACATGCAGCAAGTGCATTAACAATTATGACAAGCAGGCTTTAACAAACAGCATCATTTTAAAGCTGTGGAATCTGATGTGTAAACAGTGTATATGACAAACATCTTGCCAGTCTTTTCCTTCATGTCGCTTGCTTTTCTTGGATACTTTCTTGCTCTGTGTGTATCTCTTTGGAATTCAGCTTTGAAACATGGATAAATGAAATTGGGAGGAAAAACCCCACTTATGCAACAAGGATAAGAAAAAGAAAGAAGCTAGTAGGGTCCTGTATCATTCCTAGATAATCAATCATCAAGAAGCCAGGTGTTTGGCTTTTTCAGAGTAATGTTCAAACCAGTCTATCAGATAACATTAAGGAGGAGGATAGAAGCAGTCAATGAATGTAGAAAAGTCTGGAAATGTACAAACCAAGTTGCTGACAGTCATTTCCAAAGGATGGGAATGGAAAAGATTAATAATAAGTTATTAAATTTTTCCTTACATATTTTTGAATTATTTCATTTGTTACATTAAGCACATATTACTTTTGTGATAAAAACATTTATAATGAACATTGTTAAAGAGAAGCAACTACTTTGTTCATTTGGAAAACACTGATTGAGAGTGGTTTGTATATAATGCACGCAGTCTGTCATGTTAAAAAGATTTAGTAGTATCACCAAACATTAAAATTCCAAGGAGTAATTATTAGTTTAGAGCAGAAGTTTTATGAGGCAGAGGGATTAGGGTAGCTTCTCGGGTTTTATAACATTTCTTCCACTTGAGCCCCCATTCTATAGTACAGGCCGTGTACTTCCCTGTAACTGAATGAACATGGGTGATGACTTAGCACAGTGCCTGAAAATAGCAAGTACTCTAACTCACAATGAGGCACAACAAATAGGGTCATTGATAGCATGTTAGGTGGGACCCTTTTGTCCTCTCAGGGTAAATATCACATAAATTACTGAAAGTAGGGATGGAGCCCTCCTCAAAGAGCAACACATGCCTTTCCTCTGAGAGTTCCTGCCTGCTATTCACCAGAGGTCACTGCCCTTAACCCTCTTCCAATAGCACTTCTTAGGTTTCACCACAATTCTGCCAAGCAGAAGTGGGGTGCTTCCCTAATGGCCCATGCTCTAGCTTTCCAAACTGCTAGAACTTTAGTGTTTCTCTACCTTGGTGGTATTGACATTTTGGGCCCTGTGATTCTTTGTTGTAGGCAGAGGATTGGGTGCTGACCTGTGTACTGTGGGATGTTTAGTGGCATCTGTGGCTTCTATTCACTACGTGCCAGTAGCACCTTCGATGACAACCCCCTTCCCTGCCAAACAAAAACGTCTCTAAACATTGCCAAATATCCTCTGGAGTTGCAGTTCCCCAACTCCCGCCGCAGTGGAAAAACTTAGGGGGCTGCACAGCAGGAGGTGAGCTGCAGGTACATCAGGCAAGAGGCAGCCACGTTTCATCTGTGTTTACAGCTGCTCTCCCATCGATGGCATCACTGCCTGAGTTCCACCTCCCCACTTCCCCACCTCTACCCCGCCTCTGTGGAAAATTGTCTTCCATGTCTTCCACTTCCCTGGTGCCAGAAAGGTTCACAACTGGGCACATTTCAGGGAGGCTAGGCTAATCTATGATGTTTGGTAGGTTAGGTGTATTACATATATTTTCCACTTACTATATTTTCACTATGGTTTTATCTGGACATAATCCCATAGTATAAGCTGAGGAGCATCTGTAGTGCCTGGCACAGAGTAGGTACTCAATAAATACTACTCTCCTTCACCTTCCTCAAACCTCAGGTCAGCTTTCAATGCTTTTCTCTCACATTCCCTTCTAAGATTATTATTTATTTTTATTTTTTTTGAGACAGAGTCTCACTGTGTTGCCTGGGCTAGAGTGCTGTGGCATCAGCCTAGCTCACAGCAACATCAGACTCCTGGACTCAAGCAATCCTTCTGCCTCAGCCTCCCAAACAGCTGGAACTATAGGCATGCGTCACCATGCCCGGTTAATTTTTTTTCTATATTTTTAGTTGTCCAGCTAATTTCTTTCTATTTTTTAGTAGAGATGGGGTCTCGCTCTTGCTCAGGCTGGGCTTGAACTCCTGACCTCAAGCAATCTGCCCGCCTTTCCCTCCCAGAGTGCTAGGATTACAGGTGTGAGTCACCAAGCCCAGCCTAAGATTATTTTTGATTGTTGATGGGTTTACCTTCATTTTAAACTACATCTGACCTATGTTAAAAAGTGCGTGGGTGGTGGTACAAGATACAAAGACTTAGTATGATGAAAATAGTTTTGAAACACAAACGCCAATAAATAAATTTATGAAAGTCTATTCCTTGTCCCTCAAGTTTTTAGCAGGTAAATAATCAATCATTCTACGGGTCATGATTTCAGTTTGGTCCCTGTTCCTAAGTTTCAAGTAACGAAAGTCTTTTGGAGGATATGTATCCAAAACTCACCTGGTTCAGAGGCTCAAACAGCCTCTTGTTCACCAACCCAATTTACACAGCATCATGGGCATGAAAATCTTTTGTGCTGGCTTCAAGTTAAAATAGTTCACTGGGTCAAAAGCAGGATGGTCCAAGGTGCAGCGTGGTCAATAAATGTTGGCTGAGTCCAGAAACCGCAGCTTGGCTCTTTCTTACATTGATTTCTGGGCTGTTTCCATGAAATCTAATAAGATGATTAGTACACTTGGCAGCTGGCTGGCTGGAAACTGGAGGCAGTTCCGTCCCGGCTAAGGGCTATGGCCTTTTGGACGCCTTTGGGAAACACGTCATCTGGCTGTTTTTGCATTCTGGCGGCCTGCCGGCTTGTCCCGCCGGGCAGGGCTCTCCACGTGGTGCAGAGACGTCTCCACCCGCCGGGATGAGGACCTGACACGAAGGGAGGACGTTTCTGTTAGCTGCGAGGAGGTTTCCACGTGCTGGGAGGACACCTCGAGGACCTGAGGAAGGCGTTTCCCAGAGGGGGAGAGGGAGGGCCCCTCGCTGCGGCGCTGGGAGGTCTCCACGAGCCGGGAAGACGTTCGCACCTGCCGGGAGGATGTCTCCACGCGGTGGGACGACGTCTCCACGCGGTGGGACGACGTCTCCACGCGGTGGGACGACGTCTCCACGTGGACCGTCGACGTCTCTTTGTAGTGGGCGGTCTTCACCCGCGGTGAAGAGCGCTTGTCCCCTAGGGGTGAGGCCATTCTGCAGGCGTAAAGGGGACAATGAGGCCTCGGGAAACCCCACAATCCGAAGGTCACCCTCAGTCACGCCTCTGGGTTACGTCACAGGGTAAGAAATGACGTCACAGGCGAAGGCGCCACGACACGATGACGTGAGAGCACCATGGTCCTTTGGAGGCTGAAAGGTCTCTTCATAACGTTGGGCCCCCGCCCCTGCTCTCCGAGGCGCTCCCGCAGCTCCGGCACCGCCCTCCGGCAGTTTGGGAGCCAGAGCGGGCGGAGCGGCGCCCGCCACGGCGCGCCAGGGATGGGCGGAGCCGCCCGCCTCCAAGCGCGGCTGTGCCCGCCCCCCGTATCCCACACTGCCCCGGGACCGGAAGGGCATCTGCGGCTTCCGCAACCTTCCCCGCCACTCCGAGCAGTCTCTCATTCGAGCTGGTGGCGATCTGGTGTCTTTGCTTGTTATGGCCGCTGCCGTCGCTATGGAGACAGGTGAGTAGCGTTCTGTGCCTCAAGTCTTCGGAGATAGAACTGTCCTCGGCCCAGTCCCCCTTCTTCTGGTTCCCCCGGGCCTCCTTTCAGGCCTAACTCTCGGCAAGGTTAGTGTTTGGACAGGGAGGCGAGAGGGCTCTTAAGCGTCTGGGAAGACGAAGGGAGTTTTTGCTTTTTTCATGCTTTGGGTTGTCCACACATTTTATCTCACTTGCTATAAAACACCAACTGCGCTGGCTTCCCGGTGTGGGCGCGACTAGGGGAGAGGGCTTGGATCTTAAACCGTCTCCTTTTTTTGATTGGTTTTCTGTTTCTCACATGAGCTTGCTTAAGTTTGAAATATCGTCGACAAACTTGTGTATCATGCTACCATTGATGTTTCTCATATACGCACGCATTGCATTATCTTTCAAGCTTTCCGTAGTCTTTTTCAGCTTGCATCCTGAACTTTTTCCTGACCGATTTAGCACTTTCCTTTTACGTAACTTAATTACTGTTTGTTTGGGTTTTTTTATTTTGTTTTGTTTTTTTTTGTTGTTGTTGTTGTTGAGGTCTCTTGCCTCAGCCTCCCTAGTAGCTGGGACTACGGGCGCGCGACTCCATGCCCGGCTAATATTTTTATTTTCTGTTTTATTTTTTTAGTAGAGGCGGGGCTCTGGCTCAGGCTGGCCTGTCTCTAATTCTTGAGCCCAAGCAATCTTCCCGCCTTAGCTTCCCAGAGTGGTAGGATTAGAGGTGTGAGCCACCACGCCCAGCCGATAACTTAATCACTGTTAGCAATTGTTGTAACGGCTTTTTTAAATTGGGGGATTTTGCGTTTTTTCCACCTTTTTTCGTTAACCCTTGTTATTCTTCTTTCGTGGTGTGTTGTTGGTGGTTGGTAGTTTGTTGCTTTTTTTTTGTTGTTTTTTTTTTATTTATTTTTATTTTTATGACTTCTCTTTAACTTTAGAGACACTTTTAACTTATTCCTTTTAATAAAGGCTCTGCTTTTCTTAGATTTCAAAGGAAGTCATATCTCCTCCCACTGCCAGTTTAGGAAGACCGTCTCATGCCCTTCTTTACCCTGAAGTGTATCTCAGCATTAGTCAGGTTTCTTTACTGCTGTTGATTTTTGCTGTCTTCTCTCCTAGATGATGCTGGAAATCGACTTCGGTTTCAGTTGGAGTTGGAATTTGTGCAGTGTTTAGCCAACCCAAATTACCTTAATTGTAAGTTGTCAAGCACCTCATTAAATTGAGGTGCTATTAATGCCTTCTGACAGAAGAGTTGCAATTCATAATAGATTTTACTTTTATACATTCTTAATATTGAATGGAATTACACATATGTTGGTCTATAGATGTAATTGAGCCTTGGGACTTGTGTTTTGAATTCGGTGTGTGTTGGTGGTGGGGATGTTACATAAATAGATTCTTTATATTAGGAGTCACAAATCATAGTTTAAGGGTTGGTTTGACCTACAGATCTTTTTTTTTTTTTTTTTTTTTTGTGCCTTTCAGTTCTTGCCCAAAGAGGTTACTTCAAAGACAAAGCTTTTGTTAATTATCTTAAGTACTTGCTTTACTGGAAAGAACCAGAATATGCCAAGTATCTAAAGTAAGTTTAATTTTTATAATCCTAAATATGTATATACTTTATTATAATGCAAAACACTGATGTTTAACAGTCATCTTTGTTTCACATTGAAAAAATATATTTTGAATCTGACCACTTTTAGTTGTTACTACCTTAATACAAGACAACTCTTCTCTGATTTGGATTATTGCAATAATCTATTGACTGGTTATCTCTACTTCCACTTTCACCTTCTTCCTCACCCCTGAAACCTCCCCCCGCCCCCCAAAAAGTGAAACAGCTTTCTACATAAAAGCCCAACTTGATCTCTTAATGTAAATCAGAACACTTCACTTTCTTACTTAGAACCTTTCATTGGTTTTCCATTCCATGAAGATTAAAATCTAATCTCTTTTCTTGAACTAAAGCCCTATATGATCTGGTCCTGTCTTGTCTGACCTTGTCTTTTACCACTCTTCCCATCTCACTGGGTTTCTGATCCCAGGGAACTCACAATCTGTAAATGTATCAACATAGCCATGGGTGGGTAATTAAAGAACCTTATAGAAAAGGGAAGTGTTTCTGGGATTTTTCTGGAGGAAGTAACCTTACCTGATTTTTAGAGCTGCTCTCTTTTCTTTAGGGCCTCTATATGTCAAGAACTGTGCTAAATGCTTCACATCCATTAACTCATTAAGAAAGATATATATTTTATACACATATATTTTTAATATATATAAAATATGTATATTTGCCATTTGGGTTATTTAACAGGTACTTTTATGCTAAGGCTTACTAAATTGTAAGAAACACATAATCACAAACTTACTCCCTTTTAATGGCATAAAAAAAAAAAGTTGAACTCACATCTCTGCTTTGTCTTAACCAAGTAGAAAGAAAGCAATAGTGAAACTTGTTTTAAACAAAAGTTTGAGAGGAAAATGTTTCATACTTGTTCTTTATCCAAGTCACTTTTCTGATCTGTGTCCAATGATAGGATTCATGAAGGATACATCCTAATGTTGGCTGTAGGAACCTTTGCACCCTTACTGGATTTTTATAAACAACTCTATTCATTTAATAATTCAAAGAAAAGAATTTTTAATTAGTTTGCAAGATATGTTATATGTCCCTCAGTCACCATCAAGTTCAGTCTCACCCACAATATTTTTGAGAGATGGTCGTCTATACTCTGGCTGGAGGTTTCCAGTGTGCACATATTAACTCTTGTCAGGGACAGAGCTGATTCCATTGTTACTCAGATGTTAGAAAGTTTTTCTGTACATTGTGATATAATAAACCATCTTGTAGCTTCAGTCTGTTTGTTCTGGATTAATCCAGAACCAGCTTATTTCCTCTTGAGGACAACAGCCCTTCAGATTATTTAAATTCAAGAGAAGTTGCAAATTAATCCCTATTGGGCATTTTATTCGGTGTGTATAAAGTTTTAGTTTAATAGTTGCCAACAATTAAAGATTGGAAAGTTTTATATAACAATCCAGATTTCCATCTACACTTTAAAATCTGGAAGAGCTGGTAACCCCAGGTCTTCATTCTCTCAGGTCAACTGGCTGGAGCTGAGAGCAGCTGTTTCTACACTAGACACTTTGCACCACTTGGCTTGCTTCATTGATAGCCAGTATGTGCAACTATAATGTCTCTCTTACATCTGTTTTTCTCAACTATCTTTAGCTGTTGATTAAGTGCCATGGCTTCCAGTCTTCTCATGAATTCAAGTGCCCTCCTTTGGATATTTGGCAGTTGTACCTTATACAGTTCAGCCAAGAGCTCAACATAGGCCTTCAGATGTGGTCAGGGTACAGTGGAAATGCCAAATGGCATTTCTTTTCTTCATGTGAACATTACAAGTCTTAACTTAAGTTTACATTAAGTTCAACTTAAGTTTACATTACTTTTTGGGGGCGGGGGACCTAGGAGATCACATTAACTTGTTAGGAGCTTTATTTCAACTAAAATCTTTCACTTCTTATTTTCATCCATGCTGTGAATTGAGTTCTCCATTCATATCTTATTTTTAAAAATCTAAATGCAGAACTTCCCTATTGTAGCTCATCTATTTCATCTTTTTGACTTGTAGCCTAACAGAGAATATTGTAGTCTATCAGAATATAATTCCTTATTGTCATTTAAGGTATTCTGAGCATTGTCTTCTACAAGTTTGATATAATAAATGATCGCTGCATGTCAAAATTCCACTTATTTACTAAATGCTACTTGAAACCATTCTCTTGGTTGTCACATTATTTTACAGATGAAGAAACTGAACCTTAAAGAGGTTAAGTATCTTTTTCAGGGCTACCCAGCTGGTACTCACACCCAGATTTTTTTAACTACTAATGCTATCATGAAAAGAAATTAGCCAGGACGGGTGTGAATAGAGCATTTTAATCTAAGGTGCTAACAGTTACAGGCAACAGTGCATTTTTGGAGTGTAGATAGTAAACTGTTATTATTTTGGAAGGACAGTACGGTATTGGGCCCTGCTATTCATTGTGGTCTTCAGATCAGCAGCATTGGTATCATTTGAGCACCTGTTAGAAATGCAGAGCTCAGCCCCCACCCTAGACCTACAGAATCAAAATCTGTATTTTAAGAAGTGACTCATGTGCATATTAAAGTTTAAGAAGCACTGCTCTAGTAGTATACTATTTTCCAAACTTTAGTCATTTGCATATTACTTGTACCATTTGGGCTCTATCTGTATACTACCTATATGATTTGATGTTTTAGTTGTCTCACTTAAATTTTATGTCTTTTTAATTTAAAATAATTTCACTTACAGGATAGCTGGAAGAATAGTAAAGTGAATTCCTGTATATTCTTTGCCCAGATATTCTAAATGTTAACATCTTATGTAACCACAGTACAATGATCAAAATCAGAATATTAACATTAATCTGATATCTAACCTACAGATGTCATTCAAATTTTGTCAGTTGTCCCATTGGTGTCATGTATTTAGTATAGTGTACAGTCTAACTTGTATGTTGCATTTTGTTGTCATGTTGTCTTAGTCTCCTTTAACTTGAATTTCTTAGTCTTTTTTTTTCCCCCATGTCTGGGACAGAAGTGATATTGTATCCTTAGTATATCATATCAGGAGTCACATGAAGTCTATTTGTCTCACGACTGGTGATAATTTTGATCACTTTGTTGACGGTGTGGTGCCTTGTAGGTTTCTCCATATCAAGTTATTTTTTTTATGAGTATTTAATAAGTATCTTATGGGGAAATACTTTGAGACTATGTAAATATCTTGTTACATACATTTTTGCTCACTATTTTGGCATCTTTTTTTTATTTTTATGAGATGGAGTCTTACTCTGTCCCCCCAGCTAGAGTGCAGTGGCATGATCATAGCTCACTGCAACCTCAAACTCCTGGGCTCAGGTGATCCTCCTGCCTCAGCCTCCCTAGTAGTGGGGACTACAGGCGCCCACCACCACATCCAGCCAGTTCTTGCTCTTGCTCAGGCTGGTCTTGAACTCCTGACCTCAAGCCATCCTCCAGCCTTGGCCTCTCAGAGTGTTAGGGTTACAGGCTGAGCCACTGTGCCCGGCCTTAATTTTAGTGTCTATTGAAGATACATCCCTAATACTTGCCAGTTTTTACTGTGGTGATTTCCTAATTCCATCATTCTACACTCATTAGTTGGAATTCTTTTGTAAGGAAGAATATTCCCTTGTTTCTGATTTATTATTTCATTAAAGAAATATACATCAGTGTAGACTTTTGGATTCTTAATTTTACCCTATGGATTATCATTATGTATTTTTTTGCTCTATTATTCCAAATTTGGCCGTTGGGAGCCCCTTCAGTTGGCTTCTGAGTACTTTTGACATATCTCCATTAATTTTTAGCACTTTTCTTTCTGGCACTAAGTAGCATTCCAAGATCATCTTGTACCTTCCCTGTCCTAGCCTTGGAATCAGCCCTTTCTCCAAGGAACTCTGGAAAATGCTATCTGAAAATCACAATCTGGGCAGAATGTACTCACTGGTACTATGGTGTCATTGCTTCTAGGTCTTCTCAGTACACACAGCTAGTAATTATATGTATGTGTGTATGTGCACACACTCCCCTATGTCTCTGTTACATATATATTAAAAGCCATGAGTATACAGTTTTTAATTTCAGCTCAATAACAAAGGGTTCATTCTGGGCTTCCTCTTTTATCTGTAACTTCCTTTCTGATAGCCAGAAATTTGGCTCTCTTAATTCATAATACACTTATTTGCTCAATCCTAGAATATACATAATTTCAGAATTGCTATATTCCTGTGGAAAACTAGAGTACAATATATGTGCATAGTTCTTTTTGAAATTGACTCACTTTTAAATGAATGTTTTTTTAGCAGCTATCAATTAAATACATAATTACTAAAATAAAAAATGTTCATCACATTGTAAATCACTAGAATAGCATAGCTTATTCCCGTATTTTCACTCTGTTTACCAGTTACTGTGCTGTATATGGTCTTGGGCAAGTTAATCTTTCTGAACTTAAATTTTCTCATTTTGAAAATTTTGCTTAATACTGACTTTTGATGACGAGCCTCTCTGCAGAAGCAGGGGAAAAACCCTTGTTACCAAAGCGTACCAAGTTAATGTTATAGAAATGTAGGCTCCAAGATCATTTTTAAGAGAATAACTGAATTTGAACTTGGCATTATTGACTTAAATTATGTTGATGATTAACTTATAAACTTAAACCCAGGTACCCTCAGTGTTTACACATGTTAGAACTGCTCCAATACGAACACTTCCGAAAGGAGCTGGTGAATGCTCAGTGTGCGAAATTTATTGATGAACAGCAAATTCTACACTGGCAACACTATTCCCGGAAGCGGATGCGCCTTCAACAAGCCTTGGCAGAGCAGCAACAGCAAAATAACACATCAGGAAAATGAAAAGCTGGATACAGACTCTTAAGACATGTATATAACGTATTTCTTTTGTACAGCGAAGACAAAAGACTTCCTACCTACCTTTATTGTGGTAGCACCTAAAACCTTTAGTGTGTTTTTTATCCAACTAACTTTTTATTGTTAATAGACTATTTCTGTTAAACCAGAATTGTTCTACTTTGATTTTCCTGTGGGGTTGTAAGTTTTTATTAGCATTTAACAATCAACCGAATAAGAATGGAAAAGTTTGGTGCTTTAGATCAATTAAAGGAGGCAGTGGGGCATGGGGTAGGGAGGGCTGCCAAACATATTGAACTCTAAGCCTAGCTTTGTTCCCGACATATATATAGTGGTGCCTTGGACAAGTCCATATCCTGGAACTTCACTGTCTCTCAGATCAGCTGTTCACCCTTCTTACCCGGGGAATGAGAGGAACGGAGCAGTGACCTCTTTGAATCACAGAGCAGAAACTGCATAAAGTTTCTTAAATTGTACAGGAAAGGACATACCTGTATTACCACTTGCTTTGCAAGATGGCTTTAAGAAAGAATCACTGTTATGTCTGACTTAGTGAAGAAGGTAAGATTAGTGATTAACTACTAATTGGACTCTTGACCATAGACTAGTAAAAGATGAGGAGCCTCAAATACTTGTGCTCATTTGGGAAAGCTGACACTTACTTCAGAGGTACCAAAACCAGGTGCTATGTGTTAAGTGCTTCCTCGCATTCTCATTTTATTCTCAGAATAATCCTTGTTTACAAAAGAGGAAACAGGTTTTAGACAGGTTGAGTAACTTACTTATGGTTACACAGCTGGTTTGTGGTAGAATTGGTGTGATTGACTGACAGGCTGGAGTTCTTCTGACTACTAAGTTATATAGTCTCTCTAGCCCCTCTCTGCCACATGCATCATCCCAAATGAAGCACACTGAGACAGCTGTAAAACACAACTGCCTGAATTAAGCAGAGGTTGGATTAGATGCACTGTGCTTTCCTTCAGTGGTTAGGTTAAATTCTACATTCCAAAGCCAAAGGAGTTTCCAGGAATATCAACTGCTTTACAAATTCATAGAATTTAAGGTTAAAGATCCTAATCCCTTTAGAGATTTGGAAGTTATCTACTGCACTATTAGGGGCTTTTAGATATTTGTCATCTCCAATAATAAATTTCTTCACGCTATTACTGCCACTCCTGAAGACTTACTTATATCTTAAAAGTATCTACATATTAAAAACTAAAGGCGGGCCGGACACGGTGGCTCACGCCTGTAATCCTAGCACTCTGGGAGGCCGAGGCGGGTGGATTGCTCGAGGTCAGGAGTTCGAAACCAGCCTGAGCAAGAGTGAGGACACGCGTCTCTACTATAAATAGAACAAATTAATTGGCCAACTAATATATATAGAAAAAATTAGCCGGGCATGGTGGCGCAGGCCTGTAGTCCCAGCTACTCGGGAAGCTGAGGCAGCAGGACTGCTTAAGCCCAGGAGTTTGAGGTTGCTGTGAGCTAAGCTGATCCAACGTCCACTCTCGCTGGGCAACAAAGCAAGACTCTGTCTCAAAAAAAAAAAACAAACCTAAAGGCTCATGAGCCATTTTAATACCATTCTATTGTTTAAGCATATACCAAAATTTTAACATTTATTTATAGCTAACATGAATTCAAAGGAAGTATGCAGTTTTTTTTTAATACTAGAACAAATCAGGTAATGGAGACAATTGCCATCATTAAGTCTTAATCTTCAGAGAACAACATCTCCACGAGGTTGGCTTGAAGACACTCAGATTCTACCAGTTTTTGAGGCTGTAAGAGAAGAATAATCAAATCTTAACTCCTAGGAAATGTTATTAGGAGTAGAGTGAGTTCCACCTTGAATGACACAAATTAGGCCATTCAGAAGGCAACTAGTTGTAACAAGTTTTGTGAAAGTTAAGATATTTGCCTTAAGATGAATCACTAAAATACTTGGCTCAAGAGACTTAAACCTAAAATACCAGAAAGCTCTACAGACTAAAACAGGAGACAGCAAGCCCAATACCATCCCCTTCCTCTCAACCCTTTAATTTAGAATCCCAGGAGCATGACTGAACTAGGAGTTTCTTTTCAACCAGAATTATGGATTAAATAGAAAAACAACTGTTGATGCAAGTGTTAAAGGAATTGAGTCAACCAACTATGGCTATAGGATTTTTTAAAGAAGAGTAGCTTAAAAACATGAAAAAGACCCAACAGATATTTGCATTGTTTATTAATAGTTTATTAGGATTCGCCATAGAGACAGACTCCAAACAGCATTCTGAACACCAATGTGATTGAGATAAAATGTCAGAATCTTTTCAAATTGGAATCCAGAACAAGGTTAAAGAGTTTTGACAGAGTGAATTATAGCCCCATTATATTTAAAGAAAGATACTCACTGTTCCATATTTAAGTAGTGTAGGCACTGCAGTTATTTTCAGGTTTTTTCTGAAGTCATTGTTTGGATCTTTCCAGCTATTCCAAAAAGAAAATGATCATGAAAAAAATTTACTTGGTTTATTACAGTTAGCGTAATATTTGATACATTCTTACATTTACTCTCTTAATAATCCTTGTTGTAAACACTTAAAAAACCTTGAGGGCTGTGACTTCATCTATTGTGCAAAATCTTTATTTAAAAGATTTTGTGACTTAAAAGATGTGACTAAGACAGAAAATAAATGTAAAGCCAGCTAAGTTCTGAACTTAAGCCAGGATAAATTTATTGAATTACCCTTTATTTAAGTGGATATTTAAAATTTGTATTTAATAGCTTCTAATTCGACTTATCAGACTTTACCTTAGAACACAGAACCTGAGTGAGTCCCTGAGACCCTTCCCACTTAAGTCCTAAAGAGTCTAGTGCGTGTCTCTAAAATACAGTATACGTTGCCACTTACTAAGGTTTTTCTCCTACTTGGCAGTAGATGAACACACATTCTTCATTAACATGCTTCAGCCCCTCTCGTACGACTGGTTCAGCTTTAAAAAAAAGTTGATATAAAATAATTACCAACTCTACAGTCTGATAGGCACTCATAAACAGCGATCCTCTCTCCTTTCTACAGCCTTTAAGTACTCAGACTTTAACCTGCAGTTTGACTGAGGAGGTCAACGTAAGTCAGGTGTTCCGTTCGAGTGTTAAAGCTACTTTAAAGGACCAAGTCCAGTCCTGACTGGCCTCACTCCAGAACGCCCAGAACAATGAAAACCATACATATTTGCTGACTTAAAGGCCAACTCACTTGTACTGTGAGACACTAATCATTGGGGAAGTGAGAAATTTTAAAGAACTAGATTCCAAGATCATCCGGGTCCGATGGTAAAATGAGCGCCCTGGGCAGGGCAAGGCTTAGTAAGAAGAGGAATGGGGACAACTGAGATTGCCTCACGGGTCTCTGGGACCAAGATTCCCTGTCTCTTCTCAACCCAGCTTTCTGACCATAGCCTCGCCCTTCCCATCACTTCCGCTGGGCAGCAGCATCCCAGTCCTGGCCTCACCCTGCACGCAGTCGGGACACCAGCTTTTCCCTTCGTCGTCCTTAGAACCGGTAAAGTAGGCGAAAATGGTCTTGCCATTGTACTGCTCCACAGCCCGGCTGAACTCCTCAAAGCCGGACACGCACACTTCCTCGAAGCTAGCCATCCGGACCGCTCTGCAGACTGCGAGACGTGTGGGCTCTAGCCGCCCAGGGCCCACGTGGGCGGGGCGAAGCAGTTTCCGGGTGGGATGGGGCAAGGCGATGCCTACAGAAGCCAGCGCCGCTCTGACGCGTACGGAAGCCTCTGAAGGCCAAACTCATCCGCACTGTCTTACTGCTCTCGTTTCTCAGCTCTTTCGGTGCTAGCTCCACTACTAAACCCATACCTCTTCCCTAATCTGGTCCTGGCCCTGGCCGCATGGACGCTGGCTGCAAAACTTGCCGCCCGGCAACACCTGGACCCTTAAGAAGCTCAGGAGCCTCAACGGCTCCCAAGCCGCCTTGCGCCTGTTGCTATGGCGACTGGGCGAGCGGCCGGAAGCGAGGCCTAGTCGTGGCCCCCCTGCCGGTCCCGGTAGCCGCGCCTCGCCCCAGACCAGGTGGGCTCGGGCCGCAGCTGGGGGGGATTCTGGGAAGCTGCGTTAGGAGGCATGGACCTAGGGGAGAGGAGACCTTGACTGGGTAGATCTTGCCGCTCCGTGTCCCCCCAGTTACGTTTTCTCGTGTCTAGGCTTTAGGGGGGCCTTGGGCTGGGGGGCGGGCGTCCGGGACTGGGCGGGGGTGGAGTAGGGGGCTGGGATGGAGAAAGGCTGCGAGGGCTGGAGCTGAGTGTCAATGTGCGTGTAGAGCAGCTTAGGGAGCGAGGTGCTAAGACAAAGTGCCCCGGGCTGCGTGGGGAAGACGGGAATTGTCCTGGAGCTATGAGCCGGGCTACTGGGCGTGGGGCCTTGCCCAGGCTGCGCGGGGGCGAGCTTGCTGCTAAGTTGCCGGGTCGCTGCGTGGGGCCTAGCAGGTCGCGGCGGGGAGTGCGGCGGCCGTGGGGAAAGAGATGGAGCGTAGGGACGTTTCGAGGCCGTCGAGCTAGACGCCGGGCGAGGGCCTCGGTTTGGGAGACGCGCTGTGTTAGTGCAGAAAGGCTGCAGGGCTGTCGGCGGCCATGGGGGAGGAGACAAACGGCAGAGACAGCAGACGCCTCTAGGGAGAATGAGGCTTCGGGAACACCTGGAATTGCCGGCTTGCTTGAGGCTGCAAGGGACCCTGGGGCTGTGTGGGTGAACGGGGCTGTCGGAGAGCCCGAGGTGGTGGGACCCACTGGGGCTGTGTGGGTTACCGGGTCGGGGGAGGAGGAGACAGAAGACAGGAGTCCCCCAGGCTGTGAGAGAAAAGGTCGTCCTGGATCTCTGGGGCATGAGAGCATTCTTCAACTGTGGTTGAAGGTGCAGGCTATGAGGGTAGCTTCGGGATGTGGAGAACGAAGCAGAGTCGAACTCCATCCTACAGGAGAGGGACCAGTTGAAAGAGGTGTCCCTGGCCGAGCTTCCTGGGTAGAGACAAGCTGTGGTGGTGTTACAGGACCTTGGGTGAAAGGGCAGGCTAGGGTGTTCCCCCAGGCCTCAGGACTGTCCACAGCCATGGGGCTAGGGGAGGATTATGAAAGAACCTCAGGCTTTTGTGGACAGGGACAGGCTGGGAGGGTGCCTCCGCCTGTGGATGTGCCTGGGGCTGCTGAGACAAGTTCTGGGATTGCCTCACACCTGTTGGGGAGGGGACAAGCTGTGGGAGTGCCTGGGGATGTGCAGGAGATAGGCTATGGAGTTGCTCCAGGCCCTTGGGGAAAAGGACAGACTAATGGGGTGCCTGGTGCCATGTGGTGGCCTGGGGCTATGGGAGTGCCCCGAGCTGTAGAGGGGGAGATGGGCTGTGGAGGTGCCCCACGTCTGTCAGGGAGAGGGCAGTCAGTGCAGCAGCCTCTGGCACAAGAGGCAGTCTGTGGGGATACCCCCAGCCTATGGGGCAGGGGACAGGCTGCGGGGGTGCCTGATGCTGTGGGGGTCCCTAGAGCTGTGGTGGAGGAACCCACCTCTGTGGGTACCCCAGGCATATGGCAGAGGAGAGAGGCTGTGGAGGAGATAGGCTCTGGGGGTATCCCTGGCCAGTGGGACATAGGACAGCCTGCAGGGGTGCCTTGTGCTACTGAACAGGAAGCTAGATGTGGGGGTGACCCTGGATTCAGGGAAAAGGGACAGGCTGTGTGGGTAGAGACAGGTTCTGGAGGTGACCCAGGGTCATGGAGAGCTGCAGAACTCTCTGGTCCTAGTGAGCAGGAGGAAGGTTTTAGGGGCACCCCAGGCCTGTTGGGTATAGAACAGGCCATGGGAGTAGCCAGGGCTTTGGGGAAGGAGGAGACAGGCTGTGTCTCAGGACTGTGGAGAACAGGACAGCCAGTGGAGGTGTCCCAGGCTGTGGTGGTACCGGGAGTCATGGGCGAAGAGACAAGCTGTGGAGGTGTCCCGGGCCTGTGGGATAGGCGGCGGGCTCTGGGAGGGCCTCCAGCCGTGACAGTGCCAGGGCTTGCAGGAGAGGAGACACGCAGTGGGAACGTCCGGAGCCTGTGGGAGAGGAGGCAGGCCATGGGGGAGCAAGGGGCTCTGGTGCCTCCAGCTTTAGGAGTGCCTGGGCCCGGGGCGCAAGAGGCTGGCTATAGAGGTGTCTCCTGTCTGTGCGGGAGGAGGCAGGCTGTGGGGCTGTCTGAGACAGTAGGGGTACCCAAGGCAGCAGATGTGCCCAAACACAGGTGTGCCCCAGCAGGGGTACCCACAGGTGTGTGCGTGCCTGGGTCTGGAAAGGTGCCTGCCACTGTGTGGGTGTCTGGTCCTGTGTGTCAGGAAAGCAGCTCTCGAGCCGTTTTGAATCTGTGGGACAGGGTTTGTGCTGCCGACATACCCATGGCTTCAGGGAGGCCTCTGGCTCCAGAGGAGCTATGGCCTGTGGGGGAGGACGGTGATTCTGGGGCTTTCCCAGGACCATGGGGAGGGAGGCAGGCTATTGCAGTTCCCATGGCTCCGGAGGTCCCTGGCCTTGTGGGGGAGGAGACTGGCTCTGGGGGTGTCCCAGGGCTTTGGGGAAGGAGACAGAGTGTGAGAGCTCCTGTGGCCACTGAGGTGCTCACAGCTCCTAGGGTGCTTGGTCCCCTGGTGGTGGAGACTGGTTCTGGGGGCTTCTCAGGCTCCTCGGGAAGGAGGCAGACTGCTGATGGGGCACCTGTGGCTCCCAGGGTATCTCGGCTTGTGCAGGAGGAAACTGGTTCTGGAAGCGTCTCAGGCTTGTGGTGGGAGAGAGAGAGAGTCAGGGGACCCACAGATGCTCTAGGTCCCGAAAAGATGGGGGTACCCACCTCTGCCAGGATGCCTCGACCCATGGTAGAGAAGACTGACTCTGGAGGCATCTCAGGCTTGTTGGGAAGCAGACAGACCCCTGGGGTCTCCATGGCTGTGGGGCTGCCTGGGTCTTTGCGGGAGGAGACACTCTCTGGGGGTCTCTTGGGCCTGTCGGGAAGAGCAGAGACTGCTGGGATGCCTGTGGCTGCTAGAGTTCCCATGGCCATGGGAATGCCCATGGCTTCTGGGCTGAGGGTAGGGGATACTAGCTCTGAGGACGGTGGCTCAGGCATATGGGGAAGGAGACCAGCCACTGAAGTGCCAACTGCTGCCAGGGCTCCCAGACCTGTGGAAGGGGACGTGGGCTCTGAAGGTATCTCAGGCCTGTGGAGGAGGAGACATAGTGGAGCGGGCCCTGAGGCCGCAAGGGTGCCTCTGCCTCTGGGGGTTCTTGCAGCTGTAGGAGTTCCCGTGGCGGGGCGCGTGCCTGCTGCAGTGTGGGTGACTGGGTCCACAGGTGCAGAAGTGGATGTGGGTGTCTCAGGCCTGACAGTGGTGAGAAGACAGTCTACAGAGGGAGTGGGGGCTTCAGAGGAAGAGACAGGAGGTAGGAGTATCCTGGGACAGGCAGGGAGGAGCCAGGCTATGGGGGTGTCTCACACCTGTGCGCATGGGACTGGGTTATGGAACTATCCAAGGTCTGTGGGGGAAGAAACAGCTTGTGAGAATGTTCCAGGAGTGTCAGGGATAAGAACAGCTGTGGAGGTGCTCCCAGTTCCAAGGGAGGAAAGAGGGCTTGGCCATTTCAGAGATCACCCACATCAGAGTGGGGGGAGACAGACTGGAGGAATGTCTGTAGTCAGAGTGAGAGGGAACAGTTGGGGAGAGAATTCTGTGGGGGAGGACAGATTGAGGGGGACATTCCAGTAGTGTATAGAGAGCAGCTTAGGGGGAGGTGTCCTGGGGCTCTTTGGGAGGGAACAGGTTGGGGGGAGGTTTGTCCTGGATTGTGGATGAAGGCACAGGCTGTAGGGGTGGAGATGCCCCAGGATATGTAGGGTGACAAATTGGGAGGTTTCCTAGAGCAATGGGGAAGGGACAGATTGCAAGGAAAGGAGTGCCCCAGGACTTTGTATAGGGGTGGATGTCCCTGGACTTTTTGTGTGCATGTATATGTGTTGCATCACTTGAGGTTTCCTGGAACTGTGGGGATCGCCTAGTATTTTCCTAGTGGAGAATGGACTGTTGAGGCCTTTGGCACATGGAAGCCACCAGGGAGAAAGTACTGACCATGTAAAAGTTGCAGATGCCTTGGCCCCAATTCTGCATACTCCATTCCATGGCTCCAGTCCCCAACCAGTGATGATATCAAGCCAGTTGGGATGGCCTGGCTAATGCGCCTTGTCCCATCTGCTTCTTTGATCATGTGTCTACAGCCTTAGAAATAAGGACTCTTGGACAGCTGCCTTTATAGTCCTACAGATGTATCTGTCTTTAAGCAAATCCAGACTACTAACCTTTGATTTATTCAAAAGCTTAAATTAGGATTTTTTTTAACTTTGAATATCCCAATTGATTTACTGTAGGATTCTTTGAGAAACAAATTCCCCAGTGCGTTTAAAATTAGTTAGTTCACAGACTATCAGCTTACCTCAACAAATGTTGAGTTAAATTGTCTACTATGCTCAAGCACTGTGTTGTGGGAAATAGAAGAGTGAGAGAAGGCCCTTACCCTCAAGAAACCTTGTCTAGCTGGGAAGATGAGACATATGCCTGTGAAACAGGTAAATAACAATATGAGACAACACTGTGATAAGCACCTGAGTGGCAGGGATGACGAAATGTCTATAAAGGAGTGGCAACAATAAGGGTATAGCCGTGTACAGCCTACTGAATGGTTTCATATCTTCTGTGTGTGTGTGTATGTGTGTGTGTAGGCTAGGGAGAAGATGGGAGAAATTGAAGATTGAGAAAGATCATTCAGCTAGTTCATGGAAAATCTTGGTTTGGATCTAGAAGTTCTGATCCTGCATGTTTACTTAGAGTCTTTCAGGGTTTTGTCCATTTGGACTACTGGATAGAGTGAAGCATACTGCTTTTTGACTAGTGTTAGGATCCGTCAACATAGACTATTCATCCATAAAATCGACCTCCTGGAAAGAGCTAGTTTACCATAGCAGAGTTGCTTTTGGAATAATGTCTTACTGGATACCCTTGAGATTTGATATTTGGAATGAAAAGGGCCAAGAGATTATCATTAAAATAGTAAGTGTTCCTGTATTTCTTTGAAAATGAGAATTTCAAAATTGTGGTTGCTTTTATAAATTGAAACTACCATATACCTGTCTTTAAGCAATCACTCTTAGTATGAGGTTGCTATGGGCTATTTCTAGAATATTGTTATGCAAGCATGGCATTGTGCTTTATTCTGTTCCCTTGTTTGAACACTGTTGGTCTGAAAAAGCTTTGTTTTATTTTAGGACTGGTTTTAGGGAAGACTTGCTCATGACAAGGCTGTCACTATTGTTCTACACTATTTAACATCATGGGACCAGGCCGACCAGCTTCAACCTGTGTTCATCTAGCATCTAGTGCCCAACTAGATGGGAGGAGTGACCTCATGAAACTTCAGACCCAGGTAGTTTTGTTTCTTAAGATTTTTATTATGAAACATTTCAAACATAAGGAAAAGTTGAAAGAAAAGGACAATGAATGCTGTTGAAATCACCTTCTAGATTCAGCAATTGTTAACAATTTGTCCTGTTTTTCTATCCAACCATCTCATCTGTCTCTCTAAAAATTTTGCAGAACCATTCCCAAATAAATTGAAGACATCATGATACTTCTAAATATTTGAGAATACTTGTAGTAAAAATAAACTCACCTACTTAATCATAATACCATTATACCTAAGAAAATGGACAAAAAATAATTCCCTAATATTATCTAATAACCTGTCTTTATGCAACTTTACTCAGTGTCTCAAAAATGTCTTTTTCTCCAACATTATATTATGAAAATCTTCAAACATATACCAAAGTTGAGTTAACATTTAGATTCCATTAATATTTTACTATAGTATTTCATTGTCTTTTTTTTTTTAATTTTAAGACAGAATCTCGCTTTGTTTCCCAGGCTAGATTGAGTGCCGTGGCGTCAGCCTAGCTCACAGCAACCTCAAACTCCTGGGCTCAAGCAATCCTTCTGCCTCAGCCTCCCAAGTAGCTGGGATTACAGGAATGTGCCACCATACCTAGCTGATTTTTTCTATATATATTAGTTGGCCAATTAATTTCTTTCTATTTATAGTAGAGATAGGGTCTCGCTCTTGCTCAGGCTGGTTTCAAACTCCTGACCTCGAGCGATCCGCCCACCTCAGCCTCCCAGAGTGTTAGGATTACAGGCGTGAGCCACTGCTCCCAGCCTTTCATTGTCATTTGATCATCCCTCTAGAGATCCATCCGTCAGTCTATCTTATTTTTTGACATATTTCAAACTCAGTTGCAGATGTGAATACCCTAACTACTTCCACATGCATGTTGTACACCAGAATTTACTCTTTCTTTACCAATTCTTTCAATATAAATTTTATATCAGAAATGGTGAATACATTGGAATGTATAAATCTTGTCATATTTGCTGAGTTTTGACAAATGCATGCATATGTGTAACCCATAGCTCATCAAGATGCAGATCATTTCTATTCTAGAAAGTTCTCTTAATGCCCTTTCCCAGTCGAGCCCCATCCCTACCCTCCAGAGGCAACCACTGTTCTGATTTTTTTCTACCATAAATTAGTTTTTCCTATTCTAGAACTTTATATAAATGGGATCATGTAACATTTATAATGTTAATACAATATATGGGATCATATAACATTTACTCCTTGGTGTAAGGCTTCTTTCACTAGGTTTAAAGTTTTTGAGATTTATCCATGTTTTTATTTGTATCAGTGGTTTGTTTCTTTTTAATCCATTTTACTAATTCCATTGTATGAATGTACCATAGTTTATCCATTCTCCAATTGATGGACACCTGGCCTGTTTCAATTTGGAGTTATAAATAAAGCTGCTATGAATGTTCTTATGCAGAGCTTTTTATGTACATGTTTTCATTTCTCTTGAGTAAATACCTAAGTGAAATCGCTAGGTTATAGGGTCAGTGTATATTTAGTTTTATAACAAACCATCGGACCTTTTAAGAGGTGGTGGTGTCATTTTATATTTCTACTGACAATGTATTAGAGTTCCAGTTGCTCCACATCTTTGTCAACATATGGTGTTGCCTTTTTAATTTTAGCCATTATGGTGGGTGTGCAGTAATATCTTATTGTAGTTTATAAATAATTTTTTTAAAAGTTTGATATAATTTCAGACTGATGAAAAAGTTGCAAGAATAGTACACAGAATTCCTGGATACTCTATTCTCAGATTCCCCAGATGATAACATTTTACTGCATATCTCCTCTCTCCTACTCCCTCTGCATATATTATTTTCTAAACTGTTTAAAAGTAAATTGTAGGCATGATGCACTTTTACCCCTAAGTTCTTGTGTATTTTTGTGGATTTCCTAAACACAAGGAATTCTCTCATATAATCATAGTATAATTATTGAAATCAAGAGATTAACATTAAATTAATACTAATACTGTCATGTACTCTACAGACCTTATTGAGATTGTTAATTGTCCCAATAATGTCCTTTATAGCAAAAGAAACTCCAAGATCATAAGTTGTATTCAGTTATCAAGTCTCTTGAGTTTCCTTTAATCTGAATGATTTCTGAGTCTGTTTTTTTTATTTTGTGGCATTGACATTTTTGAAGAATACAGGCCTGATATCTTTTCATAGTTATATTCAAGTTTTGGCAGGGAAACCACTGAAATGATGCTGAGTACTTCTCAGTGGATCTTATCAGGAGGGAGGTACATGCTGTCAGTTTGGTCCCATCACTGACAGTGTTGACTTTAATCATTGGATTAAGGTGGTACTGCCAGGTTTTTCCATTGTAAAGTTATTCTTTACCTTGTAAAGAATTAAAAAAGTATCTGTCTTTGAGACTATGTTAATATCTTTTTACTCCTCAAACTTTCCCATACTAGTTTTAGCATTCATTGATGATTCTTGCCTGAATCAAATTTTTATTATGATGGCTGGTAAATGGTAATTTCTAATTTTACCCTTCCTTCTACATTTATTAGTTGGCTTATTACTGTAAGGAAGAACTTTCTCTTCTCTTCCTATTTATTGATTTCAGCACAGACTCATAGATTTTTACTTTTGTCAGTAGTTTGTAATTCTTTACTATCATTATTTATTTTGATGTGCAGATATTTATTTTGATGTTCATATGGTCTCTAATTTGGCCACCAAGAGCCACTCAATCTTTGACCCATCAATCTTTGATCCCTTTATAGTATAAAAAGATATTCCAGGATCAACTTGCTTTTTGTCCTGTCCTAGCCCTGGAATCAGCCATTTATCCCTTTCTCCTTTTAGGGGAGAATGGAATTTAAAAATCAATATCTCAGAGTAGAGATGCTCATTGATACTGGAGTGTCATTGTTTCTAAGCCCTCTCAGAAGACAGAAGTGGGAAATATATATACTTGTGTGCATATATACACATGTATAAATATCTGTATGTACATCTACAGTCACATACATCTATATCTCTTTCCCTACTTCCTGTCTTCCTCCCTCCCTCCCCCCTTCTCTCTCTCTCTCTCTGTTTCTTTCTTTTTCTTTCTTCTGTCCATCTGCCTATATGTCTATGTTAAAACCCATGAGTTCACACATGTATCTCCAATTCCAATCCAATACTCCATATTTCTAAGTCCTTTGTTCAACAGTGTGAAGTCTGGCTCCAGTTATAGACAATATATTTACTTATTTGCTCAGTCCTAGAATGTTCAAAAAATAGTTTCAGAATTGTGTTCCATTCCTCTGTTAAAAAAAAAAAAAGCCTACAAATTATAGTTCAGTATTTGTTTAGAGTACACTTGTCTTTAGCCTGAGGTCAGATAATCCAAATGTTGTGTTTGAAAGTTAGTTGGGTTAATTTTTTTAACCTTCACTTTTTGGTGTGGTTATGTTATTTATTTGAAGTTCAGTTTGGTTTATTGATTTCTGTTAGTATTCATTTTTAGAGTTTTCCTCCATCCTTATAGATTTTAGTATTTTCTTCCTCCCTCCCTCATTCATTCATTCATTTCTTCTTTCCTTCTTTTTGTTCTTCCTTCCTGTCTCTCATGTGTAAGTGAAACATTAGCATGGTTCCAAATATTTAGGTATATTTGATATATTCAGAGGAGTGTTAAATGGTACCCCATTCCCTCTATCTTTTCTACCTGATTCCCACCTATACCCTGTAGATAACTCATTAGTGTCTGATTTTTCTTTTCTGTTTCTTCTTGCACAAATCATCTGATGCATATATATTTTCTCATGTCTCCTTTTTTCTTATGTGAAGGGTAGTATAGATAAACTACAGATAAACTTTTTGCACTTTGCACTTTTTGCTGAACAATATATCCAGAGAAATCTCTCCACATCAGTTCATAGAGCTGCTTTTTTACATCTTCATGGTACTCCATTGTGTGGGTATACGATAGTTTATTCAGCCACTCTCCTATGTGGGCATTTAGGGTAATTGCATTAATTTATGATTACAGACAGTACAGCAATGAGTAACCCTGTGCATATGTATTGTTGGAGATGTATCTGCAGGGTAAATTCCTAGAATTGAGACTACTAAGTCAAAAGGCAAATGCATATGTGGTTTTGTTAGATATTGCCAAATCTCCCTCCATAAGGATTGTGCCAATTTACATTCCCACCAGCACTCTATGAGGGTGCCTATTTTCCCACAGCCCCACCAAAACAGCATGTATTGTTATACTTTTTAATTTTTGGTATTCTGTTGGGTGATAAATGGTATTTCAGTGTATTTTAAATTTGTATTGCTATAAGAGTGAATATCTTTTTATGTTTAAAGGCCATGTTTGTATATTGTTTTGTAAATTGGTCATGTGTTTTGCCCATTTTCTATTGAGTTTTGATTTTTTTCCACCTCGCTTTTTAAGATTTATGTATAGAAGCCTTTTGTATTTGCAAATGTTTTTCTTCCAGTTTTTCTGTTCTACTTTTGACTTTGCTTATGGTGCTTTTTGTCATGCAGAAGTTTTTTAAAAACTTTTAGATTTTAACATAGTCAAACCTTTTGCTCTTTTCTTTTATTACTATGGATTTTGAGTCCATTAGAAAGCCTTTTCCTAAACCTAATTTAAAGTGGAAGTCTCATATATTTTTTCTAGTACTTAAAACACATCTCTGAAGTATTTTGGGTTATTTTTACTTTAGGGGGAAAGACTTTTTCCAAATAAGGCTGTAAGTTTCAAGTACTGTTCATCAATCTTTGTACCTTTCAGATGGAAACCATTTTTTTGTCTTTAGTGAGCTTTTTAACTACTTTTTACAATCCAAAATACTTTGCTGAAGTTTTATCATGATGAATTATTTTAAACTGACTCTTGATACACATGATTATATAAACATATTCATTATGAGAGTAGGAAAACCATTTCTTAGATAAAGGCATCAGAGGACTGGGTTCATTGAATTTGTAGGCACGAATTCTTCTAAGCCTATTTACCTGTTTTTGAAAGGTTCATTCTGGAAGGTCCAGGAGCGTACATATTTAAAGCCATAAAATTGTTTGTTTCCTTTGACCTAGTCATCCCAGATCATTTATCCTAAGGAAATAATTTATGAAGAGAAAAAACCTAAATGCATAGAGATACTAATTGAAGTAATATTTCTATTAGTGGGAAAACTGGAACAACCTAAGTGTTTAATAATAACATTATGTTAGGTTATGCATGAAAAGGCCATTCATTGGATTTTGGAAAATGCAACCATGAAAAATAAAAACTATAGGAATATTGAAGCATTCTTAAGTGCAAAACAGCAAAACTTGTATTTATTATGAGGAAAACTGACAAAAACTGGGGCCTGCTTAAGAAGGCGTAAGTGAACTGTTTAGATCAAGATGCACTTTCATAGAATGAAAGATGAATTCTGCTGCCAGATGAAAAATCCCGGAAGACCTGAAGTATTGCCAAATGGCTTAGGTCTGGTATGTCTGTGTGTTACATCTGTGGAGCAATTTTTAGGAAAGCTCTAATGGATTGTGTCGGTTACTTGCAGAAGCATAACATTTAAAATATATATATTTTTAATTATTGTAAATAAGTTATACTTATTTATGGGGTACCTGTGATATTTTGATACAAGCATATAATGTATAATGATCAAATCAAGGCAGTTGGGATACCCATCACCTCAAGCATTTGTCATTTCTTTGTGTTAGTGATGCAGGGGGTGTCCCAGTGAAGGGAGGAAACCCCCCTGAACTTGCCAGGTGTGTTCTTGGCTTCCTGAAGGAATGAATTTGAGAGTGAGCCAACTATCTACAGGAAAGTTTTATTGAGACAGAGACAGACAACAGATCCCATTCCATGGACAGATCCTTTCCTGAGCAGGAGGGGGGGCCCCTTATGGTGTAATTGGTAATATTTTAGATGTTCAAAAACCCTGTAGTTGACTAGCATTGTCTTGAGGTCAGGCCATAAAGGTTAATCATAAACTTCTGTCATAGAAAGGTAAGCACAGTTCGTAAGGCTTAGTAAAGCACCCATCCTCAAGTGGTCTCACGCAGTGACTTACTGGCGACTTCCTTATCCAGACTGATTAGGGTCTGATACCAGTCAAAATGGCTGCCCTCTCAGGCTTTCTTGACCTTCCTTTTCTGCCTTATCCCTACATTATTAGGAACATTCTAATTCCACTCTTAGTTATTTTGGAATGTACAATAAATTATTGTTAACTATAGTTGCCTTATTGTGCTATTGAACACTGGATCTTATTCCTTTTATCTAACTGTATTTTTGTATTATTAACCATCCTCTCTTTATCTCCCACCTCTTCATACCCCTCTGCTCATCTTCCCAGCCTCTGGTAACCGTCGATGCTCTCTGTCTCCATGAGTACAATTTTTTTTGGTTCCCACATGTGAGTGAGAACATGTGATATTTGTGTTTCTGTGCCTATCTTATTTCACTTAACGTAACGTCCTCCAGTTCCATTCATGTTGTTGCAAATGACAGGATTCCATTCTTTTTTATGGCTGGAATAATATTCCATGGTGTATATTCTATGTGTGTACCAAATTTTCTTTATCTGTTCATCCATTGATGGACACTTAGGTTGATTCCATGTCTTGGGTATTATGGAAATGCTGCAATAAACATGGGAGAGCAAATAATATCTTTGATGTACTAATTTCCTTTCTTTTGGGTATATACCTAACAGTGGGACTGCTGGATCATATGGTAGTTCTATTTTTAGTTTTTTGAAGAACTTTCCTACTGTTTTCCATTATGATTGTGCTAATTTACATTCCCATCAATAGTGTATGAGGGTTCCCCTTTCTCCACATCCCTGCCAGCATCCATTATTGTCTATCTTTTGGGTAAGAGACATTTTAATTGGGGTGAGATAATATCTCATTATAGTTTTGATTTACATTTTTCTGATTATTAGTGATGTTGAGCATTTTTTCATATACCTATTAGCCATTTATATGTCTTCTTTTGAGAAATGTCTATTCAGATCTTTTGCCCATTTTTAAAAACAGATTATTTGTTTTTTTCTATTGAGTTATTTGAGCTCCTTATATATTCTGGTAATTAATCCATTGTCAAACAGGTAATTTGCAAATATTTTTTCCAATTCTGTGGATTTTTCTCTTCACTTTGTTGATTGTTTCCATTCCTGTGCAGAAGCTTTTTAGTTTGATACGATCCCATTTGTCCTTTTTTGCTTTGGTTGCCTGTGCTTTTGAAATTTTACTCAAATCTTTGCTCAGACCAATGTCTGGTATTTTTCCCCAATGTTTTACTAATTTCTTAGTTTCGGGTCTTAGATTTAAGCCTTTAATTAATTTTTATTTTATTTTTGTGTATGGTGAGAAATAGGAATCTAGTTTCATTCTGTTGCAAATAGATATCCAGTTTTCCCAGCATCATTTTTTGAAGAGACTGAAAATAAGTTGACTGTAAATGTGTGGATTTATTTCTGGGTTGTCTATTCTATTCCATTGGTCTATGTGTCTGTTTTTATGCCATTACTAGTATGTTTTGGTTACTATAGCTTTATAATATAATTTGAAGTCAGGTAATGTGATGCCTCCAGCTTTGTTCTTTTCTCTCAGGATTGCTTTGGCTGTTTAGGGTCTTTTGTGGTTCTATATAAATTTTAGATTATTTTTTCTATTTCTGTGAAGAATGTTATTGGTATTTTGATAAGGATTGCATTTTATCTGTAGATTGCTTTGGGTAGTATGGACATTTTAACAATCTTAATTCCTCCAATCCATAAGCATGGAATATCTTTCCATTTTTTTGTTTCATTTTCAATTTCTTTCATCAATGTTTTATAGTTTTCATCGTAGAGATCTTTCACTTCTTTATTTGTAGGTATTTCATTTATAGCTATTGTAAATGGGATTACTTTCTTAGTTTCTTTTTCAGATTGTTCACTGTTGGCATATAGAAATGCTATTGATTTTTTTTTTTTTGAGACAGAGTCTCACTTTGTTGCCCAGGCTAGAGTGAGTACCGTGGCGTCAGCCTAGCTGACAGCAACCTCAAACTCCTGGTCTCAAGCGATCCTTCTGCCTCAGCTTCCTGAGTAGCTGGGACTACAGGCATGTGCCACCATGCCCTGCTAATTTTTTCTATATATATTAGTTGGCCAATTAATTTCTTTATTTATAGTAGAGATGGGGTCTCGCTCTTGCTCAGGCTGGTTTCGAACTCCTGACCTCCAGCAATCCGCCCGCCTCGGCCTCCCAGAGAGCTAGGATTACAGGCCTGAGCCACTGCGCCCGGCCTGAAATGCTATTGATTTTTGCATGTTGATTTTGTGTCTTACAACTTAACTGAATTTACCAGTTCTAATAGTTTTTTAGGTGGAGTCTTTAGGTTTCTCTAAATATAAAATTATATTGTTTACAAACAAGAATAATTTGACTTCTTCCTTTAGAATTTGGATGCCCTTTATTTTTTTCTCTTATCTAATTCTCTATCTAGGACTTCTAGAACTATGTTGAATAAAAGTAGTGAGAAAGTGGGCATCCTTGTCATGTTCAAAGCTTTCAGTTTTTCCTTGTTCAGTATGATACTAGCTGTGGGTTTCTCGTATATGGCTTTTAATTATGTTTGAGGTATGTTCCTTCTATACCCAGTTTGTTGAGAGTTTTTGTCATGAAGGATGTTGAATTTTATTGAATGCTTTTTGCCATCTACTGAAATGATCATATGGTTTTTATCCTTATTCTGTTGATATGATGTATCACATTTCTTGATTTGGAACCATCCTTGCATCCCTGGAATGAATCCCACTTGATCATGAGAAGTAATCTTTTTAATGTGCTGTTGAATTCGGTTTGCTAACACTTTGTTGAGTATTTTTGCATCTGTGTTCATCAGTGATACTGGCCAGTGGTTTTCTTTTTTTGTGGTATCTTTGTCTGGTTTTGGTATCAGGGTGCTACTGGCCTCGCAGAATGAATTTGGAAGTGTTCCCATCTCTTTAATTTTTTGGAATAGTTTGAATAGGATCGGTATTAGTTCTTCTTTAAGTGTTTGGTAGAATTCACCAGTTAAGCCACTGGGGTCCTGGGCTTTTCTTTGATGGAAGACTTCTTATTATTGCTTCTGTCTCATTACTTGCTATTGGATTTCTTCATGGTTCAATCTTGGTAGGTTTTATGTGTCTGGGAATTTATCCATTTTTTCTAGGTTTTCCAATTTATTGGCATATAGTTGCTCATAATAGTCCTAATGATCCTTGGAGCCTGATATTTTGAAATAGGACAGAAATTCGTAACTGGGACTTATTGATTGCTGCTTGAAGTTTTCTGGGTTGGCTTTTAGAGTATGATCCCAGAATGATATTAGTAAACATAAGATTGTAGTATAGAACCAGGGTTATGTGATGAACTCAATGGTGTGGGAAAGTGGCTGATTCCATCAGCCCAACAAAATACCTCTTAGCACTAATAATTTGGTGGGTGAAATTTTAGAAACTCAATTATTGACATACACCAACTATGTAATATTTTATTTTTCTAATGTCTGCTTACTTTTATTTACTTTCTAAAGAACCAGCTGCAGTTTAATAGGAATGTTCCTACACATTCAAGCAACTTGGCAATCCGATATTCTTGCCCACATGCAATTAGAATTGAAAAACTGAAGCACTCGTACAATGAATCATACCATTGTAAAGATGCAAATTTTAGAGTTGATCCTGACCTAAGCAGTTCTGTTTCATTTTCCGTCATATCAGAAGAGAGACTTAGCTATGCTGTCCACCTAGCCAAAAGAGATGTGAAACGAAGACAATTTGAAGAACGTATAAAGGAACATCATCTCAGAATTCAGCCCCAAAGCTCTCAGAAATGTGGACATACTCAGTATAAAATATCTGACCCCAGGGTGGAAAGGAAGGAATTAAAGAGTCAAGAAGTGTGTCAGTGCAGCCACCGGCCATCCAAAGTAGAAATTTCCAGCTCAGGTGCCAAAGTATACCTGTACACATCTCATCCAGGACAGTCAAGTCTTAACGTGCCGAATTCGCCACCCACCCGTGATCCAGGACTCTGTCAGCCACATCCCAGGATAGATGACCACAAAAACTTAAGTGAACAGAAAAGCCTACTAGAAGTCCAGCGTCTCCAGAAAGAATTGAGCAGTTGTATCCACAAAATTGAAGCGGTAACTAAAAAAGGTGAGAAAAATTAGATTTTTCATTTTGATCTGATGCCACAAGTGTGGGATAGTTCACATGCATTCCTTCAGGACTCACCCACCCACCACTAATCCCATTCCTTCCTTCTTTGTGTTGGTTCACTAGAGTATGAGCACTCATAGCAAGACAGTTGGAGTTCGACCAATGTCTTCTTTCTCTAACGAATCTGCTCTGCCTTAGCCATTCTTTTCAGCAAAGGCACATGAGAGAGCTCCTTCACTGTAGGCTCACTTTGTATGTGCACTGACTGAGGGCCCAGCCTGGTGGGGCACCTGCTGTCTGAACCTTAGGTCTTCCGGTATCTGAGTACAAGTTACTCCATAATGTTTTCCTTCTGTTTCCAGAAGTCCTTCTGGCAAAATTATTGTTAATTTGCTCCAAAAAAGATCATAGTGTATGTATATTACAGATAAAACCAATTCTCACTTAGGCAGTGTTTATATGAGTGTATACTAGTGACAAGAGAAGTTGTGGGTACATGTGTGAAATATCTGACCAAGGGTAGAAAGGAAGGTGTATAATCGTCATATACTGTTTTCTATAATTCTTTGATCTTTTTAGGGCCTTTGCATTTTCCTGGGGAGTAGAAGATTGGTTCCATTTGGAGAATTTGGGTTATTATAGCTAACAAATAGGGAATCAAGCCCAGCTTTTTCAGACTGCAAGGAATAAGGAGTTAAGCATGAAAAGGAACTGTTGTGCTAGGATAGTACATAATCTGGAATTTTCTTTTGCATCTTAAATTTAATATATGCATATGTACATATGTGCATGTTATATAAAGAATTTAAGGTACCTTTAAAAAAAATCTGTGATTGAACAAGATAAAACAAAAATATGCACATGTGAGTATATTGTAGCATAGGAAAAAATAAGGAAAGGGTAAAAGTTTACTAGGGATAAATTACATATTTGTTTCTGAGCCTCCTAGGAACCACCTAATGAGGAAACTATGGTCAGGTGCAGAATTTATAAAATCTAAAACAGAAAAAACAATTATGCAGGGAAAATAATTATTCCACATACTAAAGCCAGAAAGAAATTTCTTCTGTGGGTCTTCTTGAAGAGTATGTTGTGTACTGTCATGAACAATTCAAAAACATTCTGATATGAAAATAACAAGTGCTGTGGCTCGTTTCTCACAACGTTCCTTAGCATCAGTCTTTGGCACAACCCCCGCACATTTGTGGGTAGAAGCCATGCTACCAGAGGGATGAAGCCAGGAGGCCCACTGCTCTGGTGATCAGGCCTAATACAGGGTACTTTTAGAATAGAGTTTTTAAACTCTCTGTGGGGAAAGCCTGGCTTGGTTTATTTTATTTGTTTACATTTTCAACATAAATCAATACTTTGTAAACTATAATACAAATGTGACAAAAGTGCCAAATTGCTTTAAAAGCATGTAAATGTATACTTTCACTTTCTGCCCTTACCTTGTGGTGGACTAGTAGTAGTTTGCAATGGCATCTAGCTGCAGACCACCTATTCCGTAGCCCTAAAGTGCCCATTTGTACTTTCCAAGTTCTGCTCTGTACAACAGTTGCATCACAGTCATCTGTAAGGTGAGCAGTTAAAAACCCCCATCTATGCCAGTTCTCATTTATAGTCACCCAAGCTTTGAATCTGGATTTTCTCCCCACTGTGCAACCCACAGGAGATGGAAGTAATTTGGCCTATAGGCTCCCATAAAACTGCATCTACATGTGCAACTCCTGACTTCAAATTTTTACCTGCTTTGAAACAGCCTTATACTCTTTTCATTGTTTGGTGTTTTAATGAATACATATTAAAAATTTGAACTTATAAAATATACTTATTACTAACAAAATACTGCTTTTCTCTGACTTGTATGTTGGAATTTTGTAGGAGAATTTGTATAAATGTCTTTGAAAACCACAGGCCTGAAGGTGTGGATAGATTTCATCTCCTTCAGGCAATCTTCTAGAAATAATTTCTTTGAACTAATTTTTGAAAATGTGGAGTACTAGTGTGTACAGGATATGCTTTCTGACAAATATATGAAGACTTTAGACATTCAAATAGTTTTAGCACTTGATATCTTAATATGTTAGAGGAAAGACTTCTCTTTTGGATTCAAGATAAGAAAGTGCCAAAATCATCTTCCTAAACATAAAAATAGGTGATAAAGAGTTTTTGAAAAAAATAGAAAGCACAACAGATTTTGGCTTAATATAAAGAATTTTAATAAAATAGTAAGAGATGCCTCACAGTGACATAGCTGTCCAGGGGAATTTGGTTCAGGGAAGCCGGCATGATGGGAAGCATGATCAAGTTAATGTCTCCATGTCCCTTCCATCTCTGTGTCAGTACACAGGCTCACTCATTGCTGGTTTCTTGGCTGATGTAAAGTGACATTTTCTGTTACAACAGCCTCACTTTTTTTCTTAATAAAACTAGAGATTTTCAACTTTATTGTTTCTTTAAATAATTGAAGTTTTTGTATGTATGGCTTATAATTCACCTTTGTGGGGGAAATATTTTCAGACAGACTAGCAGAGGCATTGGATCCAGATGAAGAGCGTCGAATCCGTGTCAGGAGACAGGAGCACGCTGTTCGTTCTGCCCGAATGCTCTACGTCCTCCAGCAGCAGGTGTGCAAGGCCCAGGGAGAAGTGGGGCAGTCAGCCTTGTGTATTGTTTTCTTAGAGAATTTCAGTTTTCCTTTTGTCTCAGAAAGATTAGCACCAGAGTAGTACCCTACATGAATTCTGACTGATTGGAGGCTAAATTTCCTGAACACATAGACAAATGATCCGTTTCTTTTTGTAATCTACGTGTGTGTGTGTGTGTGTGTGTGTGTGTGTGTGTGTGTGTGTATTATATGTGTATGGCCAAACTCCTTAAACAGTGTTTTTTTACTTTCTAAGGTCATAGACTCTTGGGCCCTGACATGCTTATACAGCACATATTTTTGCTTGGAAGTCAGGTGGATCAGTTACCCTGAAACCTTTATTCCCAGATGTGAACGCTAGTCTTAGAGGAAAGGGACTTTGTTAGTTTCCCATCTGTCTCATGTTAATAATGTACTAGAACTTTAGTAGGTAATAAATAATTTGATTCTTATGTTTAGTAAAGAATGAAGACTCTGTTAAATGTCTTTCAGGACGTGTTTAGTGCCTGATAAACAGGGATTTACATTGCAATAGATTTTTTAAAAAAATGTTTTTACCTAAAGCCTTATTAACTAATAAGCTTTTAACTAATTTCTTTTAACTTACATCCCATGTTGGCCTTATTGCTTAAACCAAAAATTGTAGTTTTTCATTCAAAAGAATATGCCTGAGTTAGATTTTGCTCTGTATTCTTTGGGGTTCTATTTCAGTTCGTATTCAACTTTGCTGCCACAGAAATTGTTCTAAAACATGAATCTTACCATGTTAGACCTCTGCTTAAAAGACTTCAATGGCTCTCTGTAACTTAGAAGAGGAAAGCTAAATTCTTTAGCATGGCATGTAAGACTTCATGATCTGGTCCTCCTACCTTTCCAGAGTCACCTCCTTCCTCCTTTGCTCTTTCATGTTAAATTCCTGTGACATTGGGGACCAAGAGGTAGAAGGTGAATATTGTGCTCTATTCACCATCTTGAACTGGGAACCAATAACTGTTTTGGGGGGGCATGAATGAAGAGCCTTTTCTCATTTGCAAGTGATTTGAATTAATAACGGTTATGTTTAGACAAGACAAGATGTATCCCTTTCTACAAAAAAGATCAGTGGAAAGGTATGAAGTTTTCATTTTTTTTCCCTTTACAAAACAGGTAAAAGAAATCCAGGAAGAATTGGATAAATTGAGTCCACATAAAATTAAACACACCAAGAAGGTATGATGCAATTGAGTTGTGATTAACACTTATTTATAAATTTATAAATTACATTTCCCAGTATTTTGTTAGTATTGAATGTGGCTTCTCTGCACTAATATTATATTTTCAGTGCTTGTAGAAACCTGTTAATGAGAGTGAGCACTTAAATATTCTGAATATGGAGTTCCCTTCTGAGGAACAGGTTTTGAAGGATACATTTTTGTTGTTGTTGCTGCTGGTGTAAGAAACTGAGCATAGGAAGGAAAAGACTTTGTCATTAGAAAACTTTAAACTTTACAAAATTCTCTTTACCATGAAAAAGTTTTCAAAATAGGAATCACTTTATAGAGAAAGAAGATTAGACTATAAATATTCTTAAAGGTTGGGTTAGTATTAGGAAGTTCTGAATTTTGAAATAACTTCTCACATCTTTTTTATTGCCAGTCGTGGGCAATGTCTAGGTTGGCGGCCGCCCATCGAGGAGCCATTCGGGCCTTACAGATGTTTGTCACTCAGTTTACTGACCGAGGGGAACACCCACTTCCTACACGGTGTAGGGAGCTGGGCAGCCTTATCCGCCAGCTTTCACTTTGTTCTGCCAAGTTGGATGCTGATCCTTCTGTTCCTGATGTGGTTATAGATATTCTGCAACAAATTGAGGTATGAAATTGACTCCTATTTTTGCTCAAAGTGTATGGGAAGTAATGTTTACTGTTGTCTAGTTTCATGAGGATTTATGCAGAATACAAGACAAAGCTCCTACCCAGTAAATTAAAGCTTTGCAGGGGCAGAAGAAACACTTCATTTTTATTTTATCCTTTTTACAGTCTATGTATTATTGTATTTCACATCTTTGAAAATTGGTGACTTGAGTATAAAACATATAACAACTTTAAACCAGGTCCATTAATTAAACAGAATATTCCATTCCCTGGCCATGCCATTTAAGGAAGAATTTATTAGCAAAGAAAAGAAAAATAGTAAAGCACCCTTAAATTATTGCTTAGATTAGAATATTAGTGTTTAATCTAGATGGATTTTAGAAAAGAAGTAACAATTAAAGATACAGTATCTGGAAGCAAAACCTCAAATCTCGTGATGTAACGAGACTTCTAGAAGTCACAGCTGGCATGTACTAGTCAGAGTGAATAGTATTCTTAGTTCTCATAGATGACAAAGACAATAGCAGTATGCTCTTAATTTTATAGTTCTCTGAAGTTTGCACAGTATTACCACATAATTATGCCTTTTGATTCTTACTATAGCCGTGTGATTTATAGTTGGTTTTATTACAACTATTTTATAGATTAAGGTGTTTTTTTTAAAAGAAGCAAAAGTCAGAAAGATGATTCAAAATTACTACTTTTGAGAGCTGGAAATCAAATTCCTATCTTCTGGCTCCCATGCTAGTAGTTATTTCTACTACACCATATGTTATCCACAAATAAAAAGATGATCTTTATGTTGGCATGGCATAGTAAGCTGTTAGCTGTAGAAGATCGGTGATATAGTGGAGAGAATTCTGGTCTAAATGACATGCCAGTTCTGCTACTATTAACTAGCTCTTGGCGGTCTCTAAGTCCCCTTCTGCCTTTTACAATTCCATGATCCAGCAGATATGTTTGTGATTTGCATTGTTTACCTTTGTGTATATAGAACATATCAGTAATGTTATTGTCAAATACAGACCTCAGGACTTTAAGCAGTATATCAAGTCATGTGATACTCTTTAAACTTACTAATAAAAAACATTTATTGGCCAAAATGATTTCATTTAGAGGACATAGCTTGTAATTCTAGAAAGGATCTTAAAAGACTGCTGTCTAGTTCCTCTGCCACATTTTAAGTGTAAGAGTACCTTTAACATATTTCTTAAACAGAATGTTTATCTCCCCTACTTTTGAAAATATTCAGTAGTGCAAGAAATTTTTCTTTCTTATTGCTGTACTATACCATTTCACAGCTTATTATCTTATTACCTTATTATCATTTGAACTAACCCTCACTGGCTGTGTTCAGTTGTCCCAGATGGAGACTGGGCCCGCACTGCTCAGTAAGGAGTGGTTGGGTACTCAATAGAGGATATTTCTTTTTTAGGAAAGAGGGACACAGATCTTGTACCATAATTGTGGTAGACAAGTAACCAAAGTCACTGGACCTGCTACGTTTCTTTTAGTTTGTGAAAATGTATGTTAAATGTAGTACATTTGCCCACTTGAAAGACTATTTGAGTTTATGAGTTTTTGTTGAGAAATAAAATGCTTTTAAAGCATATAGGATAATATTCTGAACATTATAGTTAATTTCTGAAATAATTATCCTAAATTTTAGGATTTGGATGCCTTCAAAAGTAGTCAGATTCATTATCTCTTTGTTATTGATTTTAGTGAACTAAACATGTAAAAGAACTCACAGAAATTTTCACTAATTAAATATTCCATATAATAAAATTTTAAAATTAGCGTTTTGTTAACCCTTAGAGATAGCCATTTAATAACACATTTCTCTGGAGTCCTTATTTTCAGTTTTGTGATTAAAAGTCATACTTATGTGAGATAAACTAAGAAAATAATTGTTTCATGGAAGGCTTTGGAATCTCTCCTGGAAAAGAAACTGTCACCAAAAAAGGTGAAGAAATGTTTCAATGAAATTCGGAGTGGATTTCCCATTGGTAGCCAAAGGACCTTAGAGACATGGCCAAGTACATCACCAAGGAGTGAGAGGAGACCCTTTGTAGCAAAGGAGACATTTCCTTGGGAAACAAGTCGACCTTCAGTGGCAAAGAAACTTCTTGCTGGTATGTGTCTTAAAGTGTTTATTGTGAGATATTTTATTCATTGAAATTATCTGGGTTGCAATAGTTAATGCACTAAGAAGAAAATCAGGATTTAGAACCTAGTCCACAATAGATGAACTTTAACTGGGATCAAAAAATAACAACCAAGATGCTTCCTTAGGCTAGAGGCTGGACTATTCTTCCGTAGAGGAGGTCTGGGGAAAGTGAAATTCACTTTTCCTACATCATAGCATTTGGGCTATCCAAAGGAAATTCCTATAGTGCTGGAAGTTAGAACCCTACTTTTTAAAACTTTATTACATTTTAATGATAGATAAATAGACACACACACATGCATTTGATTTAAATGTATTTTTTCACATAGATAATAAATTCTTGTTATTCTAAGATGTGGAATTATTAGATGATATGGTGTGCATATATAAACAGATACTGCCAGTGCCCCTTAAAAGTAGCTGTACATTTATGTTTTGATTAACAGTGACAGCAATATCTATTTCCCCATATCCTCACCAAGTACTTTATATAATAAAATTTAAAAATCTTTCTAGTGTTGGTAGAAAATGGTATCTTACTGTTTTATATTGCATTTTGCTGATTTCTAGTGAGGGTTATCATTTCTTCACATATTCCTTAGCCATGTTTATTTCCTCTTCTGTAATTTGCCTGCTCATTTTCTTTATCCATCTCCCTAGCTGGGTTCTAAGTGTTTTGCTTATGGGTGTATAGAAGTTCTTTATATATTTTGTATATATTTTATATATACATAAAAAGGATCTTAATCTTTATTTGGTTTACATGTATTATAAATGTTTCCCCCTGCTTAGTCTTTTATCTTTGAAATTTATTTATGATGTCTTTTCTGGTGCAGAAAATTTTAATTTTGTAGGCAAATCATCAATCTTTCTTACACATTTTAATATTTGATAAGTTCTCCTGTCTTTGTTCTTTTTCAAAATTTTGCTGATTGATGGTCATTGCTCATCTTCTGAGGAATTTAGAATGAGCTTGTCAAGTTCCATGAAAAATGTTGTTGGGATTTTGATTGGTATTGCATTGAGTTTATAATAATTTGGGGGGAAATGTTATCTTTAAGATATGGAGTCTTCCCATCCATTTATTAATGCCCTTTCTCCATCCCATCAGTTAAATTTTATAATTTTCTGCATGTATGTTTTATAAATTCCTTATTAGGTTTATTTCTAGATTTTTATATTATAAAAACTATAAGGTTTTTATGGCTCTTGTGAGTGGGAAATTCTTTTTTATTACATTATGAAATTGGTTATTGCTACTTAGGAAAGCTATTGGATTTATAAGTTGCTTTTATATCTGGCACTGTGCTGAAACCTCTTATTTGTTATGATATTGTATTTTGTTGGTTCTGAGGTACACATTTGAACATTTCTGAAATTGGGGTATATTCTTAATTTGATGATAACTTACAATTGTAGCATTTTAAAATTATAAACATTTTAAACAACATTTAAAAATTCCTATTGATGTCTAAAGTAATGATCTGTCTATAATTGATGTTTTATATTTAATGAAATATGAAATGTTGTTAGTTAATTCTTTTGTATTTTTCTAGATAGATGAGGTCATTCATCAATAAGTATGGCCAAATCCAGTAAACTAGTTTTCATTTTAATTAAAATAGAACATATAGATAGAAAAGTACAAAATATAAATTTATAGCTCAATTACCAGAAGACAAAGACATTTATATAACTACTGTCCAAGTCAAGAAATATTAATAGAGTATTACCAGCACCTAAGAAATTCCCCTTGGATCCACCCTTTCCAATCTATATCCCCTCCCTCTTCCCCAGATGATTATTCTGTTTTTTAATGGCATTCTCTGGTTTTGCCTGGTTTGAAACTTTGTAAAAATGGAATTACCCAATAGATATTCTTTTGGGACAGGTTTTTTTTATTTTTACTTAACACTTTGTGACATTTATCTATTCTGTTTGTATAGCTGTGATTTATGTTCATTGCTATATTGTATTCCACTATATGAATATATCACAATTTATTGTTTGAATCATTAAGTTGTTTTCAGTCTTGGGTGATTATAAAGAAAATCACTATGATTGTTCTTATATATGTCTCTTGGTACATATGTGCATACATTTCTGTTGGGTTATTCCCAACATTATAATTGTTAGGTCATAGGTTATATGTTTGTTTAACTGTAGTAGATGAAGTTTTTTTTTTCAAATCACATTTATTGTTTTATATTCCCATGAGCAGTACATGAGAACAGTTGCTACACATCCTTACCAGCACTTGTTATTAGTTTTTAAAATTTTAGAGATTTTGAAATCAGAATTCATCACTTTCCACTAAACCTCCATCCCCCTTCCACCTCCTCCAAAAAAACCAAAGAAACAACCGGGGATTGATATCTTTACAGTATTAAATTCCACAATCCGCTGGCAGGATATATCCCTCCATTTATTTAGGTTGACTTTAAATACTCTCAGTAATTTATATATATGTGTATGTTTAATGTATACACACACATTTATTTGTGCATGTATAGTGTTGTTCATCCCTCATTAGATTTACTCCTCGGTATTGATATTTTTAATGCTCTCATAAATTTTTTGAAAAATTTAATTGCCAATGCTTACTGGAGATCTATAAATATATAATTGATATTGATTTTTATGTTTTGACCTTGTATCCAGCAACCTTGCTAAAACTCATTTATTTCTGATAATTTATCTAGATTGTTTTTGTTTTGCTCTGTCTGTAATATTATATGTACATAACTACTTCTTTATTTCTCTCTTTACAATCTTAATCTTTTTATTTCTTTTTCCTCAATAGTTTTTTGGTTTTGTTTACTTGATCTGTAGATGACTGATATAAAGATATGTCTCTTTTGATACTTGAGACTTTCTTAATTTTTCATTACATTTCTCTTAATTTTTTCTTTGTATATTTTGAAGTTGTGTTATTAGTAGCATAATAGTTCCTGACTGTTAAATCTTTTTTGGAGGATTTTAAATTTTGTTTTTTTATTTTTGTTTTTGTTTTTTTAGAGACAAGGTCTCACTCTGTTGCCCAGGCTGGAGTACAGTGGCACAAGCATAGCTCAATATAACTTTGAATTCTGGGTTCAAGTGATCCTCCCACATCAACCTCCCAATTGGCTAGGATTATAGGTGCGTGACACCATAACCAGCTGATTTTTAAATTTTTTTGTAGAGACAGGATCTGACTATGTTGCTCAGGCTGGTCTTGAACTCCTGTCCTCAAGTGATTCTCTTGCCTCAGTCTCCCAAAGCGCTGAAATTAAAGGCATGAGCCACCATGTCTGGCCTATATGTTGTTATTATTAAATATCTCTATTTCTCTCTTTTAAGGTCATTTGCTTTGGCTTATGTTTTGTCTGATATTAATATTGCTTCATCTATTTATTTGGTGTCTTCCTGGAATAACATTTTTCATCCCTTTATAGTCAGTCTTTCTTTGCTTTTTTATTTTAAGAATGTCTCTTCTAAACAGTTTATTATTGGTGTTTTTAACGATATTTTTGAGCTCTATATTTAACCTACTTACATTTACTGAGAGTAATGACATATTTGAACTTTTTTCTACCTTATTTTATATTTTTCATTTGCCAAAGTTTTTTTTCTTTGTTGTAATTTACTATATTAACCAAGATTTTCCTGTCTTATTTTTTCTTCTGTTGATTTGAAAGTTATGTATCAGTCCAGAATTCGGTTGATTTATGTGTCAATCTGCCTCTGTTCTGTGGAACCTTAATAACTTAGTGCTCCACCTCTAACACAAGTGTAACGTGAGAGACAAGGAAAACCAAACTGTTTTTCCTACTCTCACTCACTCAACACTCTCAGTACTTCACTTCTTTTTTTTTTTTTTTTTAAGACTACAAGAGTTAAAGTTTAATTCACACAGATTAGCCTTCTTTCAAAGGAAAACATTATGTGACAATTCACACTTGAACACCTGGTATAACACAAACTTCCACTCTGTCTGGCACAGACATATTCAACATGCCATAGTAAGTATAATCTCCATTTTATTTTTTTCCAACGGATAGTTTTTCTTCAGTTCTCAAGGACTCAACTCCTTACATAGGCTTTGGTGGAGGTCTTGGGGCAGCTCCCGCAGGTCTAAATCTGGGTGGGGGTGTTCGGTCCTTGCGGGCTTCCCGAGAACGATTCCTGACTACCTTGCTGTGAATGGCACAACTCACACAGTAATGTAGTTTCACATACAGCTTGGGAAGCACATAGGCATCGAAGACACTCGCTTCAGATATGTCCCTGACAGCTGCAGCCTCCACTGTGTTCCAGATGACGAACTTCTTCATGGCCTTGTCTTTAGGCACACATCGGGCACAGTTTGTGCAGCTAATAGGCTGCACATGGCCACGGCCCTTTTCGGCACGACCGTTGTTCTTTGTCATCTTCTTTTCTTTGTCATCTTCTTTTCTTTGTCCTTCTTTTCTTTGTCATCTTGGAAACGAGGACGCGAAAAAGGGAGTACTTCACTTCTGACACTAGGTGTATGGGTTTTTTTTTCACTGCATAAGCAGTTCTCCAGTAGCTACCAACTAGGGGTCCTATAATTCAATTCAATTCTGACACTGCCTACCTGGGATTAGGATCAGATCCCACAGGTTAAGACTCAATCTATAAGACTGCCCCCACTTCAGACATCAATTTTAAGTCCCTGGTTGTGACCTGTGCTTCTGACTGACCAGCTATAAATCAGGGTTCCCTCAACCCATTCCTGGGGTTTGCTAAGATGGCTGATAGAACTCAGGGGCATGTTTGTCCTCTTTTTATAAAGAATATTACAAAGGATACAGATGAACAAACAGATGGAAGAGTTGCATAGGGGCAAGGTATGTGGCAAGGGGTTTGGAGCTTCCATGCCTTCTCCAGATGCTCCACCTTCCAGGAACCTCAACGTGTTCAGCAACCTTAGAGCCCTCCAAAACCTGTATTTCAGGGATTTTTATGGAGGCTTCATCACGTAGGCATGATCAATTATTAACTCAGTCTCTAGTCCCTTGTCCCCTCCAAGGGTAGAGCTGAAAGTCCCAAGCTTCTTTTTTTTTTTTTTTTTTGAGACAGAGTCTCACTTCTCTTGCCTGAGCTAGAGTGCCGTGGTGTCAGCCTAGCTCACAGCAACTTCAAACTCCTGGGCTCAAGGGATCTTCCTGCCTCAGCCTCCCGAGTAGCTGGGACTACAGGCACACACCACCATGCCTGGCTAATTTTTTTTTCTATATATTTTTTAGTTGGCCAATTAATTTGTTTCTATTTATAGTAGAGACGGGTTCTCGCTCTTGTTCAGGCTGGTTTCGAACTCCTGACCTTGAGCGATCTGCCCGCCTCGGCCTCCCAGAGTGCTAGGATTACAGGCGTGAGCCACCGAGCCTGGTCTGAAAGTCCCAAGCTCTAATCATGGCTTGTTTTTTCTAATGACCAGCCTCCAACTAGGAACCCACCAAGAGTCACCTCATTAGAACAAAAGATGCTCCTATCACCCAGGAAATTCTAGGGCATTGGGAGCTCTATGTCAGGAATTGAAGTTAAAGACTAAATATTAGAACAAACAATGCTCCTAGTACCCCTGTGGCTCAGGAACTTATAAGGATTTTAGAAAGCTCTGTGCCAGGAACTGGGGGAGAGACCAAATATATGTTTTTCATAATATTACAATATCACAGTAACAAGACTAATTTACTCAGTTACCATTAGATAGTTGTTTACTATAATGGGATGTTATCTCCCCTTCATTGGTAGACAGGTGGAATTAACATAATATCTGCCTTTGAATCAGAAGTCTGCCTTTGCCAGCCTTTCCCTTGAGGACAGCTGTCATATCTATTTGTCTTTATATCCCTGTGACTGCCCGGCATCTGGCACATAGTTATGCACTTAAGTATTTGTTGAAAGACTCTGTGAAGAAATGTATTTGAATAAGAAAAGACTTGTGTGCAGCAAATCACAGTCACTTGAGTTCTAAGTTCTGAGGTGCTCCCTTTTGATAAGTTGCAGGGGATGCAGAGAACATTCCAGGCCTGCACACAAAGATGTGATTGCTAAAAGAGTTAGAAGATTAGGAGTGCCCACCAACCTATTGGTGAAAAGTGAGGAGACCAGCTTCAGAGAGAAGTTGGGAAACCTGCTAATCTAAAACACATTGTAGGAACAAATGTAGGAAAGCCAGGAGACAAATGCAGAAAACCAAGAAGACTAGATTCTAGTCCCAGCTTTATCAGTTTGTGGTCCTAAATTGACTTAATCTCTCTGAAACTTAATTTTTTCATCTATAAAATGGGGAGGTTAGTCCTTGTCTTATGTGACTGACTTAGTTGTTGTAAGTAATAAATTAGGTAATTACTAAATGGTACAAAAATGTAAGGTGATATTTTTAGTTCATAACAATAGCCCCAAGTTATTAAGAAAAGGCTAGTCATGTGAAGCATATTCTAAGAAAACAAACCTTTGGTGGCCATTTTAAAGTGAGTTTTGGGTCATAAAGAAGTAAGCTTGGCCGGGCGCGGTGGCTCACGCCTGTAATCCTAGCACTCTGGGAGGCTGAGGCGGGCGGATTGCTCGAGGTCAGGAGTTCAAAACCAGCCTGAGCAAGAGCGAGACCCCGTCTCTACTATAAATAGAAAGAAATTAATTGGCCAACTAATATATATAGAAAAAATTAGCCAGGCATGGTGGCGCATGCCTGTAGTCCCAACTACTCAGAAAGCTGAGGCAGAAGGATTGCTTGAGCCCAGGAGTTGAGGTTGCTGTGAGCTAGGCTGACACCACGGCACTCACTCTAGCTTGGGCAACAAAGCAAGACTCTGTCTCAAAAAAAAAAAAAAAAAAAAAGATAAAGAAGTAAGCTTTAGTTATCAGGAAAATATGTTTATGTAGAATAGCTCCTTAGTCCCTGACTGGGCAGAATGAATGGGTCTAACCTGAGACTGAAAGTCAGAAGACTTGGCTCTGCCACTTACTCTCCTTGTGACCTTCAAGGAAACACTTAACTCAAGGATGTGGCAACCCTTCATATTTATTTTTGTTGTTTTCATATGATCTGGATTTCAGAAGGTTACCTTTTTCTCTTTGTTTTAGATATCACTCTACCTAATTATTCTTGTACTCTGGTTTCTTAAGCTCTTCTCTTCCCCATCCACCCCTAAAAAATATTATAGGGAGCTACTTGGGTGGAAAACTCTCTCTGTGCCCTCTTTATTTGCAATATATGCTGGAGCCTGATTTGATCAGCTACCTTGTGATTTACATAATCGTTGGCTGGTGCAATGTTTTATTGGCTTCTGAAATGTTCTTTTGATGGTTGATTGCATTAGTATAACTTGTCAGCTATAAGGATGGTGGCTCCTCTCCCTCCACCAGCAAGAGTCCTCCAACTCACTCCTGAAACTTATACTGCATTTGCATGCTGATTTATGCAAATCCTATGTGAAAAGGTATCAAGACCTAGAGTCAGAGTTGCTTTGATATATGTAAACTTGGGAGTTAATATATATATTACAGACTGAGGATTCAGTTTTAGTATTCTTTTCTTCCAATTTATACTTCCTTACTCTAACTTCCATAACTTTGAAAAGTACCCAGTTAAAGTAGACAATGCAGGGGAATCTGACCCTTGACTTAACTGCTGTTGAAGTAGTATAAATTAAATATAGAAAGAAATGAAAAGAATAAACATTGTGTATCTACTACTTAGATTTAATAAATATTAACATTCTTGCTTTATTTGCAAGAATTTTTTTTTTTTTAGAGATAAAGTACAGCACAAGTTTAAGTATCCCTTATCTGAAAATTTGGAATCTGAAAGGCTTCAATAAGCATTTCCCTAGAACGTCATTTCTGTACTCTAAAAGTTTCAGATTTTGAAGCATTTCAGATTTGGGGTGCTCAACTTGTTCCCCTTATCTGTGGGGAATACATTCCAAGATCCTCAGTGGATGCCTGAAATCAAGGATAGTGCTGAACCTAATGCCATCATTTACAATACGTTTTGTTCATGTCTTCCACCCACAAATTGAATGCCTTTTCCATCTTAAATAAGCATTTGTCACATACTATGGCTATAACTTTTGCAGTGTGAGATGTGACAGCAAAACTAGCATAAATCTCTTTTTCTCTCTTCACAATTTCGCAAATAGAAGATTCTTTCTTACCGTAGATCTTAGCAACCACGAGGAATATATGATTTTTTTTCTTTTCTTTTCTCAAACTGTATGGTACTTTCCCGCCTTTCTCTGGCACTATCCAACCGCATTGCGTCCTCAGGATTATAACTACCCTTGCACTTTGGAGCCATTATTCAGTCAAGATAGGGTTGCTTGAACACTAAGCGACTAATAAAGGTACCCGGCAGTCAGATACTGATCACCAAGGTGACTTCTAAGTGACTAACAGGCAGGGAGCATGTACAGCACGGATACACAATTTAAGTTTAAGGGAGGAATTTTTATTGTTGGAATTTTCCGGTGTGAGACATTTTCAGACCCGTGGCTGACGACGGGTAACTGAAACTGCGGAACGGTCGGAAAAAGCGAATGGGGTACGTCCTGTGTGACAGGTGCAGTTGAAGTCCCTTTTCTATTTTTCTCCTCATTCCATTCCCCTCCTTTTCTCAAGTATAGGGGGGGTAGGACGCTGGTTGGTTGTAGTTAGTGAGCGGGTTAGGATAGACCTGTTCTACTCTTCACTATTTATCACTGCTTATAGTGTGCTGTCGATTGATAACACCGCTGTATTAAGCATTATTTGAGTGGGTAGGTTAATAAGGACGATGGCGGGGGGTATCTGTCAGGTATTCGATACATTTTGTAGTTTGCTTCTCCCCTGTATGTTTGTAAGATTTGTTCGTATTGACACTTGAATTCAGTTTATTAATTTAACTGTTGTGTAAGTTTCCCTTGTATGAATATACCTCAGTTTATTTTTCAGTTCTTATTGATGGGTATTTGGGTTATTCCTTGTTTTTTGCTTTTATAAATAGAGATGAAGTGAATTGAATGCCTGTGTATCCATGTGAGAGTTCCTCTAGGCTGAGCATATACCTAGGAGTAAAATTGCTGGGTTGCATTGTGTGTGAATCTTCAGGTTTATTAGAGCAATCAAGTTGTTCTCCACAGTGGTTGGGCCAGTTTACTCCCGTGCTGGAAGTTTGTGAGAATGTTTGTTTTTCCACATCTTTCGGTGGATATGAAATGATATCTCATTGTTTGAACATTTCTGATGACTATTAAAGTTGATCATCTTTTCATATTTTTATTGACAATTCAGATTTTCTGTCTCAATTTTCAGTTTCTATCCTTTGCCTATTTCTCTATTTGATTGTTTATTTTTCTTACACTTTTGTAGAAGTTCTTTATATAGTCCAGATATTAGTTCTGTATTAATTATATGAATTACAGATATCTACTTTCAGACTTTGGCTTGTCTGCTGACTTTGTGGTGTCTTGTCAAATGGAAGTTTTAGTTTAGTTTGATATGTCAATATTATATTTGACCTTAAGAAAGTCTTTTCCTGCCCTGATGTCATACTGATAGTCTCCTGTATTTTATTCTTAAAGCTTTAGAGTTTTCTTTTGACATTTAGGTCTTCATTCTTTTATAATTTAGGTGTTCAGTGTGAAGCAAAGATTTATTTTTATTTTTCTATCTATGGATACCAGTAGTCCGAGCACTGTATTTTGAACATTCTGGTTCATACTCACTGATTTGTCATGCTACCTTTGTTATATCCACCCTATTTCAGTGATTTCTGCCTGTTCCACCATCATTCCCACAACTGCCTTGATCTTGCGGTGTTATCACTGAGACTTTATCTCTAGTAGGGTAAGACTCCTGCCTCTTCCCCTCTCCCTACTTTGTTGTTCTTCAAAATTATTTGGGCTATTGTTGGGGTTTTACTCTTCATATGAATTTTAGGAACAACCTGTTTTAGATCCACGCACAGAAAAATCTATTGAGATGTTTTTAAATTGAATATGCATTTAAAATTGTAGATTACTTTGAAGAGAATTGACATTTTTATAATCTGTTCATTCATGGAACAATTTTTGCAGATTTTCTTTCATGTTCTTTATCTTTTAACTATTTTCTGTGAAAGTCTTATACATCTTTTATTAGATTTCTTACTAAGTACCTTATAGGTTTTTTTGCCAATATTGATGAGATTTTTTTCTCTTATATTTTTAATTAGTTATTTTTATATGTGGGGTTGATACTGATTTTTGTGAGTTTATCTTCTTATGTCCAGAAACGTTGCTGACCCCTCTTCGTAGTTACAATAGTTTGTAAATTCTCTTGGGCTTTCTATACAGACCCTTATCTCATCTTCAAATAAAGATAGTTTTATTTCCTTTCCTATTGCAGGTTGAATGTCATACATGTATGGAGTTCAGACTTTATTCTGTATCAAATTAGGAGCCGTCGAAGGCTTTGCATAGAGAAGCAACATTCAAATATTTACATTTTAGAAAAACAATTTTGGTAGCCAGATGATGGTATGAAGATAAACAAGAGATCAGTTAGGAGACGCTATTATTAAAGTCACAAGATATTGCAAACCTGACCTTGGATAGTAGCAGAAGGGAAAGAAGGGCAGAGATAAGTTTAAGACATATATCAGAATTGGGATCAAAGGGACCAGGCAAATGAGTAAATATGGAAGCTAAGATTCAGGAGTTAACCATGACACCTTGGTTTCAGCTTATAAAACTGTAGTGGTATTCGCAAGAGAAGGAGCAAATTTAGCAACAAAATGCCTGGTTTCAACAGGGATAGGATAGATATTTGGAGCTTATCTGTATATAGATAATCATTCTCAGTGATTTGATTTGAATAGCATTTTCCTCAGTTTGTCCTTCTGAAATCCTCCATGTAGATAAGTATCAGCCTGTTACAGAGCTTCCAGTGACCCAGAAGTTGGAGGGTGAGCTTGATTTATTAGATGTGGATATCCTTCCGGAAGAAGCCCCACTTATTCCAGACCAAAGTGCAAGCTTCAAAGACAAGGCAATAGCCCCAGCAAAAACAAAAGCAGTGAAAAAGAAGCCTGTGACTGAGAATGTGCCATTTAGGAAGAAAGATACTCTGGCGCCAGCAAGACTACAGCAAGTATGAAATCATTCCTTTCTTTAGGCCAATTTATATTAATCTGACATTGTCCAAGATCACACAAGCTAGTGTGCAGTGGAGCCAGGATTTGAGTTCTCAGGCAGTTGGATGCTAGAGTCCTTGTGTCTAATTGGCTAAACTGACTGAACATAGCTCTAGGTTGTTTTTATATTTTAACAAAAATAAAACTTTTTAATATTGTTACTAGAACAGGGCATTCTCTTATGTCCTAGTTCAGTAAGATCCTAACTAATTTGATACCAAGATCCTAATTGGACAGGCTATTTTAAAATTAAATTTTTTTCTGCTTCTCACTTGGAAATGTAAAATTTGAGGGGGTTAAGATTTGGTTCCTGCTAAAGGTAAATATTGATCAATAATAATCACTAAATATTAAAAGACATTCTAGGGTAAGTGCTTTCTCAGATGGCTTTAAGAGGCAGCTGGGTAGTTAGAACTTGGTTTGAAACTACATTATTTTTTTTTTTTTTTTTGAGACAGAGTCTCGCTTTGTTGCACAGGCTAGAGTGAGTGCCGTAGCATCAGCTTAGCTCATAGCAACCTCAAACTCCTGGGCTCAAGCAATCCTCCTGCCTCAGCCTCCCGAGTAGCTGGGACTACAGGCATGCGCCACCATGCCCGGCTAATTTTTTGCTATATATATTAGTTAGCCAATTAATTTCTTTCTATATTTTTAGTAGAGACGGGGTCTCACTCTTGCTCAGGCTGGCTTCGAACTCCTGACCTCGAGCAATCCACCCGCCTCGGCCTCCCAGAGTGCTAGGATTACAGGCGTGAGCCACCGCGCCCGGCCAAAACTACATTATATTTTAAGCTTCTGTTTGAAATACTTAAGGCCCTACCAGTGGAAAACTGGCCAGAAGACCACCTCCCAGTCTGAATACCCTTATTGCAGTTACTGCCATTTGCTAGTGCTGTCCGAGGCTTTTGGAGCAAACCTATATATTATCAGGTGGGGTCAGAAAAAGGAGATTCAGCAGTCATCACCAGTTACTGACTTTAATCCTTCCCAGACAAACTCTTGTGGGGGTCATTGGGAAGTCAGGATTGAACCTGTGAAAATTCAGCTTGGTGCTAAGAATTTAGATTGATAGCAAATTTACCTCTAAAGAATATGGTATAAATATTTTTGGTTTAATTAGGAAAAAATTTATAAATAAATAAAAATATATTTTATATATAGTTTATATAATTGGCAGAGCCAGGGATTTCAGTTCTACATCCTTCACCCCCATCTCCTGCCACTATTGCTTCAGTGTTATATATACCTTCCTTCAGATTTCTCCTAGTGCTTTCTGCTTAGGTTTTACTGAGTGGGTGCATGTGTAGCATGGGGATACTTGGAGCTTCAGTGAGTCAGAGGTTGAAACCAGTGTTTCTTTGGTATTCGTTTGGCTTTATAATTTATACTCATCTCTTACAGGGATTCCACAAAGCTGAAAGAAGTAAACAGACCCAACCTCACAGTAAAAGCAGGTTGCAACAGACAACAGTCTCATCCAGGTTAAAAATGAACCAACAGCCTGTGAAAAACCACAGGGCTCCTTGGATACCTCCAAACCCCACGTCCCCACCGGCATCTCCTAAATGGTATGTAAAAATTCAAGGGACTATGTCATTTTATTTTTCCTCCACAGATCAAAGGTGACTATAGCTTAGAGCAAATGAAGTAGCAGCCTTAATTCTCCCCATTAAGAAGAAATGCTTATTTGGGTGACTAATAGATGAGAAGTTTTTATCTAGAAGCCTTTTGGTTCCTTTTGTTCCCTGATTATGTGGTTAGCATAAGTTCCTGTGGGCTAGCCCAGCCCATGGACGTGTGTCGTCGTATGGAGGATGGTGAACTTACCTCGCTTCACTTGTCTCTTCCCACAACAGATTCTAGTCATGTGAGGCTGGGACTTTTTGTCTTTTTTTTTTTTTTTTTTTTTTGAGACAGAGTCTCACTGTGTTGCCTGGGCTAGAATGCTGTGGCATTAGTCTAGCTCACAGCAACCTCAGACTCCTGGGCTCAAGCAATCCTTCCGCTTCAGCCTCCCGAGTAGCTGGGAGTATAGGCATGCACTACCATGCCTGGCTAATTTTTTCTATATATTTTTAGTTGTCCGGCTAATTTCTTTCTATTTTTTTTTAGTAGAGATGGGGTCTCGCTCTTGCTCAGGCTGGTCTCGAACTCCTGAGCTCAAACGATCCACCAGCCTCAGCCTCCGAGAGTGCTAGGATTACAGATGTGAGCCACTGCGCCTGGCCTGTTTGTCTTTCTTATACTTGAATGTCCAGTGCCTGGCACATAGTAGGCATTTAGTAAATCTTTGCTGAAGTTATAAATATTTTTAAATAATTCTAATTCCAAGTCAAGTTAATTATGAAGTATATAACCATATAGATTTCATCAGCAATCTTAACTGCAGGAACAGTTAGGATAATGCTGACATTACTGTCCTGTCACTTTCATTCACAGCACATGGAAAATGAGGAGTTGTGATTCCACAGGGCTAGAAAAAAGGGGGGGGAGCAGGGTGGAGTTAGGTGCAAATAGTATTTTGGGAAATTGGTTCAAAGGTAAGGGGAGCTTGTTTGCCACAGGACAGTAGTTCCTGAAAACACAGTAGAAAGAACAAGGAGAAGGAACAGAAAAAAGGAGGAAGCACAAAGCAGTAACATGAAGGGAGCAGGATAAGGGAGAGGCTCCGCCTTTGGGAGATGTCAGAGGTCAGGGTGAGCAGCCTGGTGGAAGAGATGCTCCTAAGATTCTGAATGATTCTGAAGGAGTGGTTGTGTTCATCCATCAGCCCTCATTTTAAAGTTGCAGAAACAATGTTTAGAGGATTTAGCATCTTGCTCATCTTGCTCTAGCTAAGGCCAAAATTAGGTCTTCTGATTTCATAATGTGCTTTTTTGTTTTTATTACTCTGTTCTGTTTTCTGTATTTTTATGTACATTCAGTTGGTAAGCTTGTAAAAATATCCACTAGTTGAAGTTTGTATTGCAAACCAAATATATGGTTTCAGAGTGAATGAATGGTAGGTGGAGGAGGGCAGATAAGGCTTCTAGGCTTACAGTGTTGTGTTAGGCCTTATTAAGGCACAGAATTACCTTGTAATATAGGATGCAATTAGTGATCTTTATCTATATATTATATAAGAGGATTTTGTTGATGTTCACCTAGTATTCTGTAATTGACCATTGTTTTATTGAAGCAAAGAGAAATTTCTTCCTTTTGACCCTGAGCCTGAGTGCTGGAGGATCTCACTCTTCTTCACACTCAGCTAGCAGTTTAGGGCCCTATGCTATAGATCACCATTAACTTAATGCTGTCATCTTCTCTGGGCTGGCACCTATTTGGATGAGTTATTGGACATGGAGTGAGTGATCACAAAGGTGTACTTTTCCATTTTTGCAGTGCTGCATGGCTAAAGGTGAAATCGAGCCCTAGAGATGTCAGAGAAGAGTCTCTCCAGCAAGAAGTTACTCAAGAGGAAGGTCAATTGAAAGGTTCTGTTGAGCATGAAGCAGCTAGGTTTGTGCTGGTATTTTTCAGATCTTTAAAAATTAAAGGGCTACTTTTACATAGACTCTGAAGCAAACCCTTTCTTCCCATTCTTATGTATAAAGTTGGTTGTTTAAAGTGTAGATTATTCAACTTTTTTTGTCAAACTATACAACATACCATAAACCCCTCTTTCATTCCTTCTTATTTCATTAATTCAGAAATTATATGCATGTCAATTGTATACCAGTTGCTAGTTTTGTAGTGGCACAGTTGTGAGCTCTATGGAGACTTTTTTTTTTTTTTTTTTGAGACAGAGTCTCACTTTGTTGCCCAGGCTAGAGTGAGTGCCGTGGCATCAGCCTATCTCACAGCAACCTCAAACTCCTGGGCTCAAGCGATCCTTCTGCCTCAGCCTCCCAAGTAGCTGGGACTACAGGCATGCACCACCATGCCCAGCTAATTTTTTCTATATATATTAGTTGGCCAATTAATTTCTTTCTATTTATAGTAGAGACGGGTCTCGCTCTTGCTCAGGTTGGTTTCGAACTCCTGAACTCAAACGATCCACCCGCCTCGGCCTCCCAGAGTGCTAGGATTACAGGCTTGAGCCACCGCGCCCGGCCTATGGAGACTTTTTAAAAGAGGGTAAATAAGATATCTCAGTCTCTGCTTATTTAACAGTCAGTAGAGAAGATATGTAATTAACTATAATTTAAGATAGAACGTGGTATATAACCTAAGAGCTGAGAGAGTGGAAGGGGCAGAAGTTACTTCTTGCCACAGAGGTCCAGGTTTCTTGGAAGGAGATGGAGATTAAGCTAGGACTTACAGAATAGGCAGGATTTAAATATGGGAGATGAGGCAAGAACATTGCATAGGAAGAGAACAGTGAAAACAGGTTGCTCTGCATTTGTTTGGCTGAAATTATTCTTGCATTTATGGGAAAGCAAAAATGAAAGTGGACCATTAAATAATTTGATAATATTCACATGTCCAAAAGAATCAAAGCCCTTTCACATACTATAAATTTGTACACAGCTAACTCTTCCCTTTTGTTTTTATTTGACCTCACTATGCCTAGGTGGCTTTCTTGGGCATCCATTTTTTTCATCTAAACTTGAAGATACAACAAGATCTTTGTTTTAGTCTAACAGGAAACCCTAAGTACAGTGATAGCTAGTTTTCTTGACCCTTTGCAGGGTGTTTCTTGTTGCTTTACACACTAACTCAGAGCGCTTTTGTAGGTAAACATCTCTGTATGTGGGACATGACCTGGAGAGCTTTATGGGTACAGAGAGGTTACATTATCCACTGAGTCCCTCAGTGGAGCCAGGATTGGCGCTGTGGGGGGGATCCTAACTTCTGGTCTGTTTCTGTGGCAATGGCACCCTGCAGTGTGAAGGCAGAACTGGTTTGACTCTTGACTATCTGCTAGGCTCGCTTGGCTTGATGCTGAAACTTCCAAAAGATTAAAGGAACTAGAAGAATTAAAAGCTACAGAAATGGACAAAATGCAAAAAAAGAGGTAAATATTTGTTCCTGAGATAGAAAAAGGTAAGCAGGCCTATTCTACATCATCTAACTATTTTAACAATGAATTGAGATTGGGTGGGTCTAGCTACACTTCTTAGGTTTATCAGCTGTTTCCTTCGATGACTGTGACATCACCTAAGAAGTCTATGGTGTAGCCAAGATTGGAGCCCAGGGGAGTCCTGACTCTGCTTTGAAGAGAATTGGGATGACTCTTTGTACTGTTCTCTAGGCTTGACTGGCTTGATGCTGAAACTTCTAGAACAACAAAGGAACTAAATGTACTCAAAACTGAAGAAATGGATAGACCTCAAAAATTGAGGTATGCGTTTGCTTCTGAAGAATAATGGATGCTTGTCTTTTCTAGTTGATCTAGATAGTTGTAACAACTGACCTGGACTGTTTAAGCTAAACTTCCTTACATGCATAAGTGAATGGACGAATGAATGAATGAATACCTGCATGCCTGCATGCATATTATACCATATTTTTGTTAGGAAATGTTTCTTTGTGGAGTTTGAAGGAGAACTGAAAAAACATCTAAAATTTTGGGGAGGTTCTGTTTGAAAGATCAGAGTCTTAATGTTTGTTTATTTTACTACCCTCAAAGGTATTTTTCTCTAGCCAGATGCCCTTCATTCTGAGGGTAGCAGGTTAGCATGATGTGCATCTTCTGTTCATAAGTGAATGTATAGATACTTTTGTTTTACATGTTAGCTTGAATGTAGCCTGAGGTTTCCATTCACTGCCTACGAGTGTTACCACCAAACTACAAGTACAAAGAAGCCTGTTAAAAGATTTAGTTGAGCTGCTACAATTGGCTCATTTTTTCAGCTCTGATAATAATTCATCCTGCAGTCAGATTAACAGAATAATCATTGAAACCTCTGTGCATTCTGTCACCATTCATCATAGAGTATTAAGTCTCAGGTTAGAAGGGCTGTGGTTTTTTGTCCATAGCTGAGATTTCAAGTCATACAATCACAGAATCTTAGGATTTGAAGAATCTTTTTTCCTTAACTGATTGATGTTTTCAGCCCCTCTGCACTGTCTCCACGAAGTAACTGTCCAGCATATTCATACACGCACTCTGTGACGGGATGGTCACTACCATCTGAAGAAGTCCCTTTCTTGGTCATCTGTAGCTATTAGAAGGTGCTACCTTAGATTGTGCTGAAATTTCATTCCTTATGACTCCTACCCACTTATCTTTTGGGCCTTATGGTGAAAGCTTAATCCTCTATACCCTGTTTATCCCTTTGTGTGTTTTTTTTATTAAAAACTGAACATATCATACATACAGAAGAACATACTAAATGCATATGTACAATCCAAAATATTACCAAATGAGCGTGCTTGTACCACCACCACAAGCCAAGAAATAGATCCTTGCTGCTACGGTAGAAATTCTGGTGTGTCTGTTCGTGGTTGCATCTCCTTCCCCTGCTGAGGCAACCACTGTCCTGATTCTTGTGTTCATCTTTTCATTACTCTGTTTCATAAATCTATCACCTGTGCAGTCTCCCTAACAATATATTGGTTTAATTTTGAAAACTGAGAAACAAGCATAAACCTGGCTGAACAAGCAAAGGGCAATGTAGCTGGTATCAGATGAAGACTCCCAAGGGAAAATAAGTTGAACAGAGTCTGGATGGTAATCTGACTGTTCTTCCCTGAGAACCCATCTCAGGAAGTCAGTGAGCAAATGTGGGTGAGGCTTCCTATTTCCCATATGCTTTTGTAATCTTCCTCAGTTTACTTGCTTGTTTTGATGAAGCACATCTTAATTTAGCTTCTTGAGAAAGGATGAATGAGAAATCTTTTTACATCTTTCAAGTCTAAAAATGGTTTTATTTACTGATAAACCTTACTACCCTCATATTTGCCTGTTAGCCTTATTGGTTATAGAATTCTTAATTGAAGATTATTTTTATTGGAAATTTTTAAATTAAACTTTATTGTGAGTTAATTGTAGAGTTACATGAAGTTATAATACAGAGATATCTTGGGTCGCCTTTACTCAGTACCCCTCAGTGGCAACATCTTTGGAAACTGTAGTATAGTATTGTAACCAGGTTATTGACATTGATATAGTCAAGATGCAGAACGTTTCTGTCATACAAGGATCCCTCCTGTTGCCCTTTTATAGCCACACCTACTTCTCTCCTGCCCCCATCTGCTGCTTGGCTAAGTAACCAGGGGCAACCACTCATCTGTTGTCCCTACTTATAGTTTTGTTATTTCAAGAGTGTTATATAAGTGGAGATACATAGTATATAATCTGGGATTGACTTTTTTTTCCTTTACATAATTCTCTGGAGATTCATCTGGGTCACTGCATGTATTAGTAGTTCTTTCCCTCTTGCTGCTGAGTAGTAGTCCATGGCGTAGATATGCCATAGTTTAACCATTCGCCTGTTAGAGAACATCTGGGTTGTTTCCAGTTTCAGGCTATTATGAATAAAGTTTTTGTAAACATTTGTGTACAGGTATTTATGTGAACATAAGTTTTCGTATTTTTCTGGGATAAATGCCCAGAGTGCAGTTGCTCTGTTGTATGATAGTTGTATATTTTGTTTCTTTTACCAAACTGCCATTCCATTTTCCAGAGTGGCTGTCTGTCCCTAGCAACAATGTTTGAGGGATTCAGCTGTTCTGCATGTTTGCCAGCATTTGGTAGCATCACTACGTTTTCTTTTAGATATTCTGATAAATGTGCAGTGGTATCTCATTATGATTTTGATTTGTATTTTCTTACTAGCTAATCCTAGCTAATGCTGTTGAACATCTTTTCATGTGCTTGTTTGCTCTCCACTCCCTCTTTGCTGGCATGTGGCCACAGGTGGTTCTGTGGTGTTGGGTGGCAGTAGCGCAGTTATTTTCTGAAAGTTTTCCATCTTCCTAGGCTGCCACCTTCTTGGTCCTTTGGCTCGAAAGAGCTTTAATTGGTTGGTTGGTTGTTTTGTTTTGTTTTGTTTTGTTGGTCTGCACTTCTTGGTGTTTCTGGGTTACTGGCTTCTCCAATACCTAGTCTGAAATATATGAGGCAAAAGGAAAACTCAGGGAACACGCACCATGTCATTCTTGGGGCCCCAGTGTCCCTACCTGGCCTGGCTTCTCTACATCTTTCCTAGTCCTCTTACATTTGTTTATATCTAGTGTCCAAGGTTCTTAGTTATACTTAACAGGAAGAATAGGGGAAAGTATGTTTATTCCACCACTCCAGAAGCAGAAATCTGATCAGAGTTTTTAAAGCATTGTTTCATTGTCGTTTCCAATAAGAAATCTGAATTCTGCTTTTTATCTTTCGTTAGAAGCTTACATATAGACTCCCCTTTCTCCCCAGTGTTCTGAAATTTCATAGTGATAGCACTTAGTATGGGTTTATTTTCCTTCATCAGTGGACTTTCTTAATATGGCAATTTACATCCTTCAGTTCTGAGAAATTTTCTTGTTTTATTTTGCACTTGTTTTTCTTCCCTCTGTTTTCTCTGTCCTCTCTTTCTGAAACACTTGTTCTTTGGAGTTGGACTTCCCACATTGGTCCTCTGATTTTCTTATCTTTTTTTTTTCTATTTGCTTTCTCTCTCTCTTTTTGCTTCTCTTTTTCTCTTTCCTCCCTGCAGTCCCACCTTGCCCCAGGAGATTTTTTTTAAACTTATTATCTAACCTGCCTATTGAGTTTATTATTTTTGCTATAGTATTTTTAAACTTTAAGAGCTCTGTTATAGCTCCAGATTTCTCTTAATTAATAGTCTCTTATCTTTCTTTTATGGATACAGTGCAATTCTCTTTCCTTTGGAATATATTAACAATAGTTTTTTTCCCCCATTGCCCTACATAGTCTCTTTCTTTTCCTTTATCTTCTGATGTTTAAATGTAGGGAACTGATTACCCATCAAAAACTCTGAGCATGTGGGTTTGACTTAGTATTTTAGTTTTAGGGTTTTTTTCTTTTTATTATATTACAATTTAGATGTAGTCAAATGCAAGGAACTTAAAGGTGTAGTTCAGTGAATAATGACAAATGATATACCTGGGTAACCAAAACCCTAATCAAGATAAAAAATATATCCATCTGGCTGGGTGCAGTGACTCACGCCTGTAATCTTAGCACTCTGGGAGGCTGAGGCAGGCGGATCGCTCAAGGTTAGGAGTTCAAAACCAGCCTGAACAAAAGTGAGACCCATCTCTTCTAAAAAAAAATAGAAGAAATTAATTGGCAGACTAAAAATATATATAGAAAAAATTAGCTGGGCATGGTGGCACATGCCTGTAGTCCCAGCTACTCTGGAGGCTGAGGCAGAAGGATTGCTTGAGCCCAGGAGTTTGAGGTTGCTGTTAGCTAGGCTGATGCCACAGCACTCTAGCCTGGGTGACAGAGTGAAACTCTTGTCTCAAAAAAAAAAAAAAAAGAATATGTCCATCAACTTAGAAAGTTCCCATATGTCTTTTCTGGTCATTCCTTACCCCACACTACTCCTGTCCCTCACAGAGGCAGCTACTTTCTGATATCTTTCACCCTAAGTCATCTTCCCTGTTTTTGGACTTCATATAAATAGAATCTTCAAGATCTGCTCCTTTGTGTCTGGCTTCTTTTGCTCAACACAGTCTTTGAGATTCATCCACATTGTACATAATCAGTATAGTATATCCTTTTATTGCACATTAGTATTCCATGTGTGGAATACTCAACGTATGTTTATTCATTCTCCTATGAATTAACATTTGGGTTGTTTCTCATTTTTAGTTAGTATGAATAAAGCTGCTATAAATATGTCCTTACACAAGACTTTTTATAGAAATAAGCTTTCATTTCTCTTGGGTAAATACCTAGGAGTAGAATTTCTGGGTCACAGGTTACACAATCGTTTAACTTTATGAAACTGCCCATAGACATATTCCAGAGTAGTTGTAACATTTTATACTCCCACTGGCAATGCATGGGAGTTCCTCTCTAGTTATTCCACATCCTAGCTAACATTTGGTGGTGTCAGTCTTTTTAATTTTAGTCATTCTGGGGAGAATGTGGTAGTATCTCCTTGTGGTTTTAATTTGCATTTCCTTGAAGACTAACAATGATGGGCACCTTTTCTAGCGCTTATTGTGAAGTGTCTGTTCAAGTCTTTTGCCCATTTTTAATTTTTTTTTAAAATTATTGATTTGAGGTCTTTTTGTTTTCTAAATATGAGCCCCTTGCCAGATACATGTACAACAAATATTTTCTCCCAGTACTGTGATTTGCCTTCTTTATTTTTATATTTTATAGAGATGGGGGTCTCACTGTGTTGCCCAGGCTGGTCTCAAACTCCTGGCCTCAAGCAGTCCTCCCACCTCAACCTCCCAAAATGCTGGAATTATAGGCATGAAGTACCGCGCCTGGTCATTGCCTATATATCTTCTTAATGGTGTCTCTTGATGACTAGAAGTTTTAAATTCTGATTTTAAGACCAGTTTATCAATTTTTCTTTTATGTTTAGTCTTTTTTTGTAAACTGTCTAAGAAATCATTCTCAATGTTAATAAGAAATTATATTCTCCTATGTTTTAATTGCTTTATCATTTTAGCTTTTATTTTTATGTCTGTGGTACATTTTGAGTTCATTTTTGTGTATGAGATGAGATACTAATCTTGGATATCTGACTATTCCAGCACCATCAGATGAAAGGATTATCAAACTCGCACTTCACTGTAGGGTCATCTGAGTGGGCTGTTTGTTATGTTTGTGGATCATGAGGTCTTTGCTTTGGGATGGGTCAGACTGCCCAGAGAAGAGTGTTCTGATCTTCTACCCGGAGGGTAAGGATCTGGATGTTGGTGTCCTAGGAGCTGAGTGGGGAAGTTAGCTGTGAGTCTAACCACTTAGCATTATGCATGCATATATGACACCACCCCCTGTTTTCAGTGTGTATCCTATAGCCTCAGCTGTGATTGGCTGCCCTTAGTCAAGAGACCCTCCAGAGAATGAGCAACCAGACTTCTCTTAGAATTGGAGATAGACAACAGCTGTCTAGTTGTGTGAAGTAGGGAAAGGGACCAGGAGGTCCAGCTTCTCAAACATCACTTAACTCTTGTCTTCATTTTTTACGCTGCACCCTCCTAGCTTAGCCCAGGCCTAGATATAGCTGCAGTATACTACCAGTCGTGTGCTTGGCTGAGTCAGCAGTGCAAATTGTGTGGGTTCTCAGTTTTTCCCATTACTGGCCTAGAAGTCAGCTTTCTCAGGTCAGCTAGAATAGTAATAGTTATCACTGTTGTGCTTTGTTTTCCAGGACCATTTTTTATTTCTCCTTGTCTTTGTGGGTCTATATCTAACTCTACTATTGTTTTTAGTGGAGTTTGGGGGAGGGAACACAATTAGTTTGTTTTGTTCAGTCTTCTAAACTCTTTAGTTGTTTAAAGGCAACCATTATATTTTTAAAGTATACTCAGAACCTAACACACTTCTTCAGATCTTTCCTAAACCCCGATGCACAAAGTGAGGTCAAAGACCAGCAGTGTTGCATCACCTGGGAGCTTGTTGGAAATGCAGAGTCTCAGGCCTTACTCAGACCACCTGAATCAGAGTCTGCATTTCAGTAAGATCCCCAGGAAATTTGTATGGCTATTCACATTTAGAGAAGCTCTGTAGTTTTTATAATCATTCAGTTTCCCTTCAGTTGGAGTGATAAATAAATATGCACAATATCATATTTTTTTGCTTTTGATTTTAATTTTCAATTTCATTTCTAAATAGTGTTTCTGCCACCCAGTTAGACAAGGTTGAGGAGTCAGTTCTGGAGCGTTTGAAGCCTCTCTTGGCGAAGGCCCAGGTAATCTAGTTCATCTCATTTGCTTGTCTTTTGGAAGTTCTGGGGTAAAAAGAATTGCTACAGAGGTCACACTGACTCACCTCCTAGACCCCCGCACATGATTGATATGTCCTCCATTGTAGGGAAGGGATAAAGATAAGGGGAAGAGAGAAGAGTCCCACTTTTGAAAAAGGTGAGGTTGCAGTTTGGGGAACAAATTTAGATTATAGTCTTCATTATCAAATAGATCTATTTGTGATGTCAGTATTCAATTAACTGCTTCCAATTTAATGTGCTCTTTTATCTCAGTGGTTTGGAATAATTGGCTCTATTTTTTCAAACAAGGGAGTTGTTAGGACAGCTTCTGTGCACAAACCAGTACTTTCTCGAAGATGAAATTACATATGGCATCACCATGGGGTTGTGCCATCCTCCTGTAAGCACTAAGCCAAATTCTGTAGCCGGACCCTGTAGAGCCACCCTGTAAATTAGAAACATTCTTGCTTGTATGAATAGATGAGGCCACAGGAGAATATTATAATTTAAAGTGGAATGAATGACATTCTGGGTTCCTGAACAGGCCAGTGAACTTCTATATTTCTAGTTTGAGGGCCATTAAATTATTATTAGAGTCCATGAAAATCTCAGGAGTATAGGACTAAGGAGGGCTCTTAGAGATTGAATAGTCCAATTTCTTCATGGTATCATCGAGGAAATTAGAACAGAGAAGTTGAATGACTTGCATAAAAAGCACACAGCTACTCTGACAATGTTTACAAAGTTGAGGGAAGAAAAAGAGTGGAAAGCCAAACCCAACACGTGGCATTTATTTTCATGAAGACAAAGTGCTTTGAATTGCTGCAAAAAGCCTAATGCAGCTAAAGCTGATGAATAGTTCCACACAGAAGTTATTCTGGTAACAAAATTCATTTGTACTAATGTGAGCTATAAATTTCTATAATCCATGAATGTATTTGTCTGTTTTAATAGAGAGTCAGTTCTTCTACAGAAGCAAATAATCATTTGAAGGACGGTCCATCAGTAAACACAGCGACAGCCCAGCCTGCATGGGAGGTTTGTGTTGTGTGTTGTTGATATCCTGGTATTATTACATGATAATGTCTTCAGTTGTAATGAAAATGGTATGCAGATTGTTTTGCAAACACTAGATTATCCTACTCAAGAAGGGTGAAAATTATTTTTCACATTTGGCATGTTAATTCTTATGTATATATTTAGCATTATGACTTAGATCAGCCTTGCAAACAATGCACAGAAATCTCTAGAGCCACAGTTTTCATCAGTGGCTCTTTATCTCTCCTCCTGATGACAGAGTGTGCATGCCCTGTGTGGCCCTGAATGTTGATGGCCTGTGGCAGAAGAATAGCCGCCCTCATTTCCTTTCATTCATCCTAGTTTCACTCATTACGGGCCTAATTTCCTTTATACTTAGGCCCTAATATTTATTGTTAGGCAAGCTTGTTCTGAGTTCCTAATATGTGACCAGTATCTGGCCTAGCAGAGAGAAAAGGCAGCCCAGGGAAAAAGTGAGAACATATGAGAAAAATAAAACCATTTTATTGTTGTCTACCTTGTACACTTCCTCTGGAGGACTTGCTTTTAATATTTATGGGAATGTTCCCACCTTGCCTAGGTAGGGCTGCAGAGTGGAAGGTGTAAGTTACATTTATTTAATAGTTGTGGACGTTGGAAAGATGTTTATTGCATTAGTTGCCCAGAGCACATAAAGGGCAGAGCAAATATAGAGGTTTCAGAGTTAGAAGGAAGCTGGAATGAAGTTCCACCTGTCCAATGACCTTAGGGACAGGAAGAAAATAAGTTTTGAGAATATATCCCTATTCTAATTATTAAGCAATATTTTAGCTGCAGTAGATTTCTATAATCTCTATAATTATAATTTAGTCATACCAATATTGTGTGACAAAATTTCCTGTGAGGTGAGGCTTCTAAGACTAGAAGCTGAAAGCTTACATTTAGTCATTACAAATTTTCAGGTGTGCTATGGCTTGGAGTTTTGTGCAGCATAGCAACTAAACAATATTATTTTTTCCTCAAAAAATAATGAAGCTAATATCTAACTATGGAGACAACTCCATACTGCATTTAATATGAAAGGAAAATGAAGTGGTTATAAATGGGGATAATAAAATAGACATGTTTGAATATTGCTAGGAATGATGAGCCTTATGTATAAGAATTATTTTGTAGGCATTAAATGGTTTCGGGGGCAGGCAGAATTTAAAAAATGGTTTCAATTTAATGAAAGAGAAAAATAACTTTATCTAGAATTTAGAATTCTGGGCTATTGTTAAACACCAACATCATTGCAAAGAGTTTGCCAGGCAGCACCCAAGAGTCAGTGTTTATAAAGAAATGAATAATAACAAAGAAAGCAAACAAACAAACTCATAGAAGTTGGCATGATGACATAAAAAATTTTTTTTAACTATGTTAACTTATAAAAGATCTTTGGGCTGGGCGCATGGCTCATGCCTGTAATCCTAGCACTCTGGGAGGCCGAGGCGGAGGGGATCGCTCAAGGTCAGGAGTTCGAAGCCAGCCTGCGCAAGAGCGAGACCCCATCTCTACTAAAAATTGAAAGAAATTAATTGTCCAACTAAAAATATATATAGAAAAAATTAGCCAGGCATGGTGGCACATGCCTGTAGTCCGGCTACTCTGGAGGCTGAGGCAGAAGGATTGCTTGAGCCCAGGAGTTTGAGGTTGCTGTGAGCTAGGCACTCTAGCCCAAGGACAGATGGAGACTGTGGGACCTTGGACACAAATTCTCAGAATTCTCACCTTTGAAATGGAGAAGACATTTGCAAGTGAAATACAACTCTCAGTAGATTTACTTATAGACTAGAGGATCTCTGATGTCAGGAAAAAGCTCTTGTTAAGGGTACCATCGTAACACATTTGCCTATTACTGCTGCTGTTGTCTTTAACTTGCATGTGAAATATATTTTTCCAAAATGTATGAGTTTTTTTAGAATTAAAAATTACATATGCAAATGACCAAAAATTCAAATAGTTTAGAAAAGGTATAATATGAAAAGTTACACCTCACCACAAACAAATACCATTTGCTGTTCTGTATCCTGCTTCTTTCTTTATAATGTATTTTAGTGCTCTTTCCATACCAGCACACTGAGACCTTCTTTCTCTTTTTTTTTTTTTTGAGACAGGGTCTTGCTTTGTTGCCCAGGCTGTGGCATCAGCCTAGCTCACAGCAACCTCAAACTCTTGGGCTCAAGCAATCCTACTGCCTCAGCCTCCCAAGTAGCTGGGACTACAGGCATTCGCCACCATGCCCAGCTAATTTTTTCTATGTATATTAGTTGGCCAATTAATTTCTTTCTATTTATAGTAGAGATGGGGTCTTGGTCTTGCTCAGGCTGGTTTTGAACTCCTAACCTCGAGCAATCCACCCTCGGCCTCCCAGAGTGCTAGGATTACAGGCGTGAGCCACGCACCCGGCCTTCTTTCTCTTTTTTAATGGCACATAGTATTTTTGATATTCCACTCTTTGTAGCTAGGAAGTGTACACCTGGAAATATGCATATCTTAATTAACTAGATCTGTATTATTGATGTATAATTTTTGTAATTGGTTATTCAACATGATTTTTATTTCTTTAAATTTGACTAAGGTTTGGCATCTTTTTCATATCTTTACTGGTCATTAATATTTTTTTCCTGTGAACTGTTAAAATATTTCTTAAATTGCCATAGCAGTAACCATCCATTGAGTGTCTTATTTCACACCAGGCACTGTGCTGCTAAGTGTCCCATGTGTAAGTTCTTGCCAAATCCTTACAACTCTGAAATGTAAGATTATTACTTCTGTAGTATAGGATTGAGGCCCAGAGAGGTTAAGTAAACATGCCCAAAGTTGCAAGCTTGAGTGGGTAGAACCAACATTTAATTCCAGAAACGTCTCATTCTATAGCCTAATATGATCATTTCCCCAGCAGACATTCTTTGCAAAAGCCTCTTTCAGAGCAGATTATAGACATGTATTAGAATCAATAGAAATACAATGTAAAAGTGCTTTGCAAACTGTAAAGTGTTTTGTGAATGTAAAGGATACAAGCTCAAGAAAGGCTGGTAAGGCTCTCCCAGGTTGTAGGTTCAGTCTCAAATAAAAACAAAGAATCCTGAACTTTGTGATGTCACGAATAGACATTTTTACAAAAGCACTAGACCAAAAGAGAATAGATGTATCCTCTGGAGTGTGTGATATGTAAAATATTGGACGTTCTCTTGAAGGTATTTGTTCTACCAACTCGCAAAACAGATGATAATGATAATTTATGTAGGCAATGATGGTATTACTTGGTTAATGCTACCATTTAAATGACTGTGATAAAAATTGTACTGATATTATTGTTTTTGATATTTACTGACTTAGGAGAGATTTGTTTTAGCATAGAAACTCTGCCAGTTGGATCAGTGTGCTGATCAAGTAATAATCTTTAAATTTTTCTGTTTTCTTTATATCACCTTTCCACATCTCCCACCTCCCATCCCACCCCTCCCCACACCTTATTTTGTAGGCTACAGCCGTTGATTCTAAATCCAACAATGTTCATCAGCTGGATGAATTTTTGGAAGATTCTGCTCAGGAGCTCTGGACTATGACTCATGCTAAGATCTTGGGGTCTGAAACCTTAGCCGCCTTGGGGGACAGCAAGGATGGTCCCTCCCTGGAGATCATGATGCTCCGAATGGAGGAAATGGAGGTAAGGTCTGGGGCTACTGATCTGGTTTGCCACTGGGGCTCTGCTAAGTGCAGCTCCTCATGCATTAGAGTCACAGAGCCCGGTTTTAAATCCCAGCTCTACTGCCAGCACAGTGTATGACCTTGATACTGTCACTTACCCTCTCTAAGTAGGGAGTTTTTAAAGATAAAATGAGGCATAGAGTATTCGGCAAACGACCTGACATGTAATCCAGTAAGTGATCATTATTATTAGCCCCCTGATATCATTGATATGTGATTCCAAAAACACTGAGACCAGGGCCTTGTCCCACAAATGAGACATCCTGTTAATATGTGCTATTCAGTTGCCTCTTTTATCCAGTTGGAGTGTGATCCTTCAAATTACAAATAATTTTACCTTCTTTAATTTCTATGATCCTGCTTCACGCAGCCTAACCCCTAGAGAGTTTAGTGCAGGAAATTGAGGCAAAACAAGGAAGTGAGTGATACTGTCAAAGTTGCAAAAAAAATTCCTGATAGAGCTAGGATGAGAATCCAGGTCGCCTGACTCCTGATTCAGCATCATCTTTTTAATTGCACCATGTTTAAATCTCATTTCTGCCTTGCTGCTAAATAGAAACGTTTTAGGGGAAGACAATTTTTTGTTGGGTTTTGAAAATTTAAAGATATGTAATTTATCCCAGTCTTGTAACTGATTTCCCCTTCTTGGAGATAGCTATGTAGAACCAAGATGTCCAAAACAGTAGCCACTAGCCACATGTGCCCATTGAAATGTAAACTAATTAAAATTAAACATACTACAAGTGGTCAGTAGTTCACGGCTGCTGTATTGGACAGGGCACAGATAGAACATTTCCATCACTGCAGCAAGTTCTAGTGGACAGTGCTGGTCTAGATTGCAGTTACGTAAATGACTTCATTTTATTTTAGGCTTTGCATCATGAACTCATTATTTCCTGGCCTGGCAGATGCCCATTTCTGGCAATGTGTCTGTATCAATTGTGTCTGCTAAACTTTTACATCCTTACTAGTTCTGGTTTGTTATGAGACTCATTTTTTCTCATAAATTAAACTTTTCTTTTTTAAAAGAAATACCAGGAGACAATTCGCCAAAGATATAACAAAATTGTATATGCTGATCCTCAATTTTGGATGCAGGAAGGAAAAAATGGTAAGTGTTTCCCCCAATTTTTCCCCACCATTTTATTCTGAAAAATTTCAAACATACAGAAAAGTTGAAAAAATTGTGCAGTAAACATTCATATACCTACTTTTTGGCTTATACAATTAACATTTTGCTGTATTTGGTTGATCATATATATCTGTTTATCCCTGTAACCATCCATAAATTCATCTTATCTTTTCATTTTAATGTAAGTTGCAAATGTCAGTATATTTCACCCCTAAATATTCAACATGTGTATCATCATCTGGAGTTTAATATTTATTTATGGTTCATTTTTTCTTTTGAGATAAAATTTACATATAATAAAATACACAGATCCTGTGTCATTTGGAGGGTTTTGAGAAATGGATTCCTGTTTGTTACCCAAACCTCCATCAGAATACAGAACTGTCACCTCAGAAAGTTCCTCAGGCCCCTTCCCAGTCAGTTCCCCACCACCTCGGCAACACCTGTGCCAAAATAGGTAGTTTGGACTATTGTAGAATTTTATATAAATGCAGTCATACAGCATATACTCTTTTGTCTAGACTCCTTTCATTCAGCGTGGTGTTTTATAAATTTATCTATGTTGCTCATATCCTGTTGCTGCTGTTAACAAATTTAAGTTTATAACAGGTTTAAGTCACAGATTTAGTGGCTTAAAGCACAAATTTATTCCCTTACCGTTCTTGAGGTCAGAGGTTTAAAGTGAGTCTTTAAGGGCTGAAATCAAGATGTTGGCAGGGTTAGTTCATTCTGGAGGCTCCAGGGGGAAATCTGTTCCTTGTTTCTTCCTGCTTCTGTGTTTTGGGCTATTAGGAATGAATCTGTGATGAATGTATTCCTGTATAGTTTTTGTGTGGACACAAGTTTTTATTTCTCTTGGACAAATACCTGAGAGTGGACTTACCAGGTCATAAGATAGGTGTGTGTTTAACTTTATAAAAAATTGCCAAACCTTTACCAAAGTGGCTTTCCCATTTTACACTCTCATCAACACTTCCATCTGCACTGAGCTGTTGCTCAACATCCTTGCTGACATCGGCGTTGTCAGTCTTGTTAATTGTAACCGTTCCGGTGAGGGTGTAGCAGTATCTCAGTGTGGTTTTAATTTAATTTCCTTGATGAATAATGTATTCACATAGTTGTGCAACCATCACTACAGTCTAATTCCAGAATATTTTCATCCCTAAAAAGAAACCCTATATCCACTGGCTGTCACTCCCCATTCTCCCTTCTCTTACCTCTGACAGCCATTAATAGATGTTTTGCAAATATTTTTTCCCTATCTGTGACTCACCTACTTATTTCCTCAAAGGTGTTTTATTATGAACAGATATTTTTAATTTTGATAAAGTCACATCAGTTTTTGCTAGTATGGTGTTTGCTTTCTACCTAAGAAACCTTTACTTGCCCTCCAGCTGAGAAAAGATTCTTGGAATCTTTTCTCTGGAAACTAGATGGTTTTAGTTTTTGTATTTAGGTCTATGATCCATTTTAAGTAAAAGTTTGCCTATGATTTGAGGTAGAGATTGAGGTTTGTTTTGTTTTTTTCCTAATGGATATCCACTTGTGGAAAGACTTTGCTTCCCCCCTCACATTCCAAAATTTATACATGTGTATTTTGGCTGCAATTGTTAGGCTACGATCACAATTTTGCCTACAAAGTGTTACTCAAATTCTCTTTGACCCATGCTTATCAGTTATTGCCTTACTCAGTGAAAGAAGGAGAATAAAATGTGGTTAAACATTACCTCTAAAGGAATTTAAGCACTATTAAGTACTACACTTACTAGGATATAAAGGAAATTGGGGGTATAGAAGGTTTACAACAGCAGCATATGTCGCATGTAATTATTTTAAAATATGAATTTGGAGTTTTGTGTTAGAAAAAATATTCTCCTTGTCAAATTTTGACAGTAAGATGAGTGATCTAAACAAAACACTGATTTTTTTCCTCTATGTGTTTTGTGTTTTCAAGTACTCTGGTTTTTGCTCATGTTGTTCTCTCTTCCTTTCAACCCTTCTCTGGCTTCCATTTTTATCCTCATATAACAACAGAATCATTCTCCAAGGCCAATCTCCTATGATCCTGATCTACTTGTGCAGTGCTTTTCCTGTATCCCTGTACTAGAACTTTGTTCCCTTCCTCCCTTCTTTGCCCATGAACACCCATAGCACTTTCTGGCCTGTTCTGCCATGTATTAGGACGGTTTGTGAAGGTGTCTTCTCTCTCCCAAGTAAGCCACAGATTCTTTGAGGCCAGAGAGTTTGTTATAATCAGTGTGCTCCCCACTGCATCTAGCACAGGGCTGGCACACTGAGGGCCCTTCTCATCAATGTTTAGCCAGTCAGTGGGCATTTTAGCATCTTTTTGTGTGGAAGCAGAGGGAAGGCAAATGTCGAAAGGCAATTTGTTTCATGGATGGGTTGGACTTTGGCCACAAAGTTAGGTTTCGTCATGTAGAAGACAGTCTTACAGAGGACTTAGTGTTCTCTTTTATCAAAGATGATTTAAATTATTAGTCAGTGTTGTGACTCTGCAGATAGTCTAGGTATGCATTTCAAAGGAGCTCTTTAGAACACTAAGAACTGAAATGAGTTTTGGGACACTTCCAGAATCATAAAATCATAGTAAGAATCCTGTTTCCACTTGTACTCCTTGTTTGTTTAATTGCATCACAAAACCAAATTTAAAGTGATCTTTGGGTTGTGCAGTGTTACAAAAACTGACTTACGCAGTATTTCTGTCTGCTGGTAAGAAATCATAAGCATATAAATGTGAGTTAGAGAAAATTGCTTAACATATAGATGCTACCTACTTAAAGACAAATTTTCTTCCTATGCTTGAAATACATTTAAAAGTATAAATAATGTAAAACTCAGAAGAGCTGTCAAGCCTGCAAGTTATAGTTAATAAATTAATGTTTTGACTATCATCATGCAGATTTTTCCAGCAATGCCCAGAGACAAATTAAATCAGCTAATTAAGTGTTCAGGTGTGAGTGTTTTTTTTTTTTTTCTTCAGTAATCAAATCATTTAAAGGTTAAAAAACAAGCCCAACTGCTTAAGACTCCTTGAGTGGGTGGCTGGGTCCTAATGGAACCCGTATAGCCTGGGGCTTTGCATAGACCTCTTCCAGAAGCCTTCTCAGAGCAAGCAGAGGCTTTGGAAAGAGTTCATTATTTCTTAAAACTGATTCTTCATTGGTTTATTTCTTTGTTGACTTTTAAATTTACCTTTGCATTTAAAATAAGAGCATTTTCCCCATTGCACTGCTAGCTAAGCCCATTGTGCTTAAGAGATTTACATGTGACTTCCTTACAGGTTGTTGGCCACTATGACAGCTCTAATACGGACACTGACTTTTCTTTATGCGCAGTCATTTTATGCCTCTCCTTTTCTAGACCATCAGATCCCAGCAGTAAGAGAAATGCCTTTGCCTCCTCGTCCAATCAAGATCACAAAAACAGTAGCTCGAAAGGATCCAGCCGTGAACATCATGTTAGAAAGTCCCTGTAACGGCAAGTAAGTGCAATGACACTGGTTTCATTCTAGTTGGTTGCCTTTGATGTTGTTAAATTTTGAATTCCTTCAATTTCCATGAGACAGAGAGAAATTCTTCTTTTGAGCAAGATCTTGCCAAACTCTAAGATAGATCAGTAAAATAGCATGTTTGTAAGACTGATTATGTTGCATCTTAAGGAACCTTTCAGTATTCAATAACACCTTTCAGTATCCAATAACATTTAGCTGTTTATATTGTTGAAAGCACCACACTGGTACATGTGGGTTACACTGATATTTACTGCAGGGTTTGCTTTAAGAACTCTTTTGTCTAAGGGACTGGTATTCCAGTCACGTCAAGGGTTAGTCTAGTGTAAAGGGGAAAGAGCAAATGGTGATAGGATGTTGCATTTTGTTCAGTGGGAGAAAGAGAAATGCAAGTGAGCCTTTGGTTATGAAACCATGAGGGTAAATTAACATCTTACCCTTGCTTACCGATGATCTTGAATGCTTTCATCATTTTTTGTTTGTTTGTTTGTTCTCAGTTCCTTGGATGAAAGTGTGGGAACAGAGGAGAGATCAGAGAAAAGAGAGGCTCCCCTTCTCTCCCTTGCAGAAGATTCTCAATGGAAAGAAGGCCAAGCTCTCCTCTCTGTCCCACGGGGTATGCGGCACAGCATTGGTGACTACTGTAGCCGTTTTGAGCAGTATCTCCGGATCGTATCTCACGAGGCCATAGGCTCCTTCAACCCGTGGCTGATAGCTGAAAGGTTAGTGAAATGTTATGGTCCTCTGTTTAGGAGCCAGGTATCAAATTTTAGACTTAAGGAAAAGCTGGAGAAAGGACTAGCCAAGGTCTCATTCCATGCTTTGTGCCCTGGAGTTCAGATGATTTTTCTTGGGCTAGTGGACAAGCTTTCTCTGCTAACTGCCTTTTTTCAGATATGGGAGACCATAAAACACCCGAAAAAGTGTCCTGCAGCCTCCCCTTCCTAGGCGGGGTGTCTTAGCAGCTTTGGTTGCCATAACAAAATACTGTAGACTAGGTGACTTAAACAACAGCAATTTATTTCTCACAGTTCTGGAAGCTGGAAAGTCTAAAATCAAGGTGCGGGTGGATTCAGTGTCTGGTGAGGGCCGTTTTCCTGGCTTATAGATGGCTGGCTTCTTGCTGTGTCCTCACGTGGCGGAGAGAGCAAGCTTTGGCCTCTCCTCCCTCCTCTTGTAAGGGCTCTCTACCTTCAGGACCTTATCTGAACCCAGTTATCTCCTAAAAGCCCCTGTCTCCAAATACTGTCACACTGGGGGTTAGGGCTTCAACATGTGAATTTTGGGGGAGACACAAACATTCAGTTCCTAACAACAGAGGTACAATATTCAGTAATCAAGTCAGGGCTGATTTCCTGTTGCTGTTAATGAGGGTGATGTCCCATCAGAGAACACAAAATATTGTTCGGCAGGAAACAGTTATGACCATGATATCTTCATGCTTGGGACAAACTTGCCTTTATAAGCAGCAGGTGCCTGGCTTTGCAACATTTTATTTAACCCTTTTCCCTCTTTGGGTTACCTCCCCTGAGAAATGTATTAATAGTTTTATGGAGTCGTAAAACAGGATCCCACATCTACCAAATATGTGAAGAATGGATAGCCTTCTTTTATGTACAAAATACTTAATACTTAAAAGATAAGTATAAATCCATTCTTTTTAAGTAGGGCCCAAAGTTAAATTTCTCATGGGTCTGACCTTAGTATAAACATGCATGATATTTTCTGTCATTGAGTTAAGTAGTATACTACATTTCTTTCTTAAACAAGTTTTAAACATATTCTAGAAGTTAATGATTGCCTCTTTTTTTGTTTGCTCATCTTTTTGTAATATATTTATTAACTTTCCACACATACTAGCCAACAACCTGTTAATATAATTTTCCTTATGATGTAAAATATCAGTTAATCTCTGCTTCCTAACCCCCACCCTTACTTTTTCTCCTAAAACCCCCTTTCCTCCTAATCCAATCTGGGCTGGCGACCCTCCAGGTCTGTGGCTCTTATCCTGGGACTTCCCTTCATCATCACCCTGAGCATTGGGTTACCTCCCCTCATAGTAGATTCCTTATTTTCTAGGGCCCCATCTTCCTTTTTCTTGGTTTACTCTCTTATTTTGATGGACCATATCCCGGTTGGTGTATTGGAGAAAATTTCTTAAGACTTACAAGTTTCAAAGTGTTTACCTTCAAACTTGGTTGATAACTTGGCTGAGTTTAAAATTACTGGTTTATGTTTTCCAAAGAATATATACCTTCTTTCTTTTGTGGGGGTGGAGAAGGGATTGTCACTTAGCTGCCAGGAGTAGGCGTGGAGATCAAACTATTCTGCAGATTTTCAACCAGTTTTTTCATCTTCTATCCCATAACTCACAGCACCTTCACGATTCTCTGTATTCTTACTTCCTGAGCCTTTCTGATGTTTTGTAGGACAAATCAACTTGCATATCCTAGGCAAGAGTTTCCTTACAGACTGTTAGGCTTCACCTTCCTCTATATTTCCTCTATACTGCAAAATTGATTATGGGTCTTCTATGTGCTTTTTACCTTCTGAAAATTTTGGACATTTCTCATCTACTTTTGTCTTTTTTTTTTTTTTTTTCCTTTTTTGATTTTTTTTCCTTTTTTTTTTTTTTTAACCAAGTTGGGTTTTGGGTTGGGTTCGGGGTTAATCACTTAAGTTTGAGTCCTCAGGTTTAACCTGAAGTCCTGAAACTTCTCTTTAATATGTGGTACCCCTTCAAAGTATCTGAGACCTTTTGTTTTGGTTGAGATACACATTTGTTTTCACCTGTGCTCTGAAGGATTTTCTGGGGAAGTAAAGAAGTAAACTTGACTTCCATCTATGTGTTAACCCAGAGTTTTGGAGCATATTTACTCATTTTCCCACAATCTGGAACAGTTAGGCTAGCAGGCACACTGGGAAATGCTACAGCAAGCCAAGAAGGATAGACTCTGCTTTGTATGTTCTTACCACCTGATAAGATGATATGTTTTGTTCATAGTTGTTATATAAATGTAGGGAAAAGCTCTCTCAGCCTATAAGGCATAATAGGCTACAATGTAGAGGACAGAGCTATTAAAATATGCCTGAATTTTTATAGGTGTTTTCCTCTGCTATCTTTTGGCCCCAAGTAACCGTGCATCTGAATACTCTAGCTCTATTTTTTAATCTCGCCTGTTTTTATTTCTTATTTGAAAGTCCAAAGATGAGAGTGGCATTGATCAGATCTTGAAATAGTATCCAAAGACAGTTGACTTCATCTGATAGCCTTTTAGGTGAGGCAGAAGCTGAGTGTTTTCTTTCTTTTACTATCTCTATTCCTCTTTACACCTGAAGAAAAGCACTATTCCAGTGATTAGAGTGAGCAGATGATATAAACTGGATGCAAATTAAAAGAGTGATTGTGAAAGGAAAGTTTAAGGTGATAATGCTTTTGATGAAAGCAAACTCTTAAAGATTCCTACTTTGAAAAAAATCAGGAGATTTCTGATTAAAAAGGACAGATTGAGCATACGTATTTATCTCTATTCCCTGTATTCCTTTCCTGTTATATATCACTGAAATGACAAGTAAAAGGCATACCATAAATGACAGCAAACAAGAAATATGAGTAAAAATTTGTAGGCCATAAAGCAGTTAGACAAATCGCAAATGATTTAGCAGGCCAGAGAAAAGCCAAGTGCCTAGCGAGGGTGAAGTCAAGAACTAAGTTTATCTGCACAGAAGAACTCGGGAATTGGCAGCATCAGAAGCTTGTGAAGGCATGGATGCAGGTGGGCCAGAAAATAGGCTTGGTTGAAATTCTCATTCTTGAAAGTGAGCAGGCAGCTGAGATGACCAGACGTTTGATGAAAACCATGAAAGATACGTAGGCTATAACAGAGAATAAGAACTCTGAGGAAGCAGAGACAATGCAGAGAGCAGAGTAGAACATAAAAAACAAACTAGAATTAATATTCTCTGAGAACAAAGTAAAGCTGCCATATCATCAAGAAAAGAACAGGATACTATAAAAAAAGGAACTTTTGGCCGGGCTCAGTGGCTCACACCTGTAATTCTAGCACTTTGGGAGGCTGAGGTGGGGGGATTGCCCAGGAGTTCAAGGCCAGCCTGAGCAAGAAGGAGAACCTGTCTCCACAAAAAATAGAAAAATAAGTGGGCATAGTGGCACAAACCTGTAGTTCCAGCTACGTGGGAGGCTGGGGCAGGAGGATCACTTTAGCCCCGAAGTTTGAGGTTGCATTGAGCTATGATAACATCACTGCATTCTATGCACTCTAGCCCTGGCAACAGAGTAAGAACCTGTCTCAAAAAAAAAAAAAGTTCTTAGAAATTAAAAACCTGATAGCTGAAATAAGTTCACTAGAGGGATTCAAAGAAAAAAGTCACATCTCAGGCAGTAGAATAAAAGACAAAGAGTTAGATAATAGAGAAGAAAAAGATTTTTAAAAATTAGAGGGTTATTCTAGATCCAACATCTGAATAATAAGAGTTCCAGAATGTGGGAAAAGAACAAAAGGAGAATATGGGAAATTATCAAAGAAATACTATAAAATTTCCCAGAAGGCTATTAGTCTTTAGATTGAAAGGATTCATCAGTTTTCCACTGTAAGTGAGTGAATGAATGAATAGAACACATCATGGCATATGATTATCAAAAGGAAATTTGAGCATCCCAGTGAAAGGAGAAGATGATGGACAATTCCAGAGAGGGAAACTGGACACATTCAAATAATCAGAAAGGAGAAAGGCATATTGTTTCCTGTAGCAACACTGGAAGCTAGAAGAAAGTAGTGCATACTTCCAATATTTAACCTACAATTTTGTGCTCAGCTAAATTATCAAAAATAGAATAAAAACATTTTAAAGCATGCAAAGTGTCCAAAAATTTAGTTCCCATGCACTATTTCTCAGTAAGCTACTGCATGATGTATGCCACAGTGCAAGGTGTACCTTAAGAAAGATGAAGACTTGAGATTTAGGAAACTTAGACTCTACTATGGGACTTCCAGAAAAATGGCAAAAGCAATTTCTAGGGAAAGACTTTTTCAGTGAGCATCCAAAGCAGCTAGTCTAGAGTAGGGACAGAGGAGTTCAGAGAGCATGGTTCCTAAGAGGAAAGGCAAAATGGAGAAGGTTAAAAAAAATAGAAAGAAAAAACAGATATATTACCTGAAGTGTTAGCATGTGTTGCAAACACCTTTGTATTTCTCTCACAGTCTGGGGTTAAATTATTGATAGGAATATATTAATAGGAAGTGAAGCAAATATAAAAACGAGGTAATCTGTTTCTAGTAATGACGCACTTGGTAATTTGGACCACCTCTCCCACTGAGGATAACTATTAATAGAAAGGCTGTATTAAAAATAAAACATATATGCTTGAAGGCATCACAACGTTAACTGGGTAAGGAAGAAGAACTGGGCCAGGATCCTGGAGAAGACGGAGACCCAGGAAGCGTAGCCCATCATTTGGCCTTGGAGAGTCAGCGTGGAGGGAGACAAGCAGCAGTCAGATCCGGGGACATAGGTTGCAATCCAGGGATTGCCAGAGTGAGGGGATTGTCCTGGTGCTTTTTGATTGGGACCCTGAAAGACTGCACTCTGAAAGTACAGATGATCTGGATATAAGCAGGCCTTCTCAGGGACTCAGCTCAGCTCCAAATTATCTCAGTTCCTGCGATTGGGCTGAGGTGATTCTAGATTGTTAGTGCCCCCCAGCCACCACACATAAGCAGACATAAATTTTCTCTGGAGGAAAATAACATCATCTTATTTCTATAATTTCAAATACAGTGTCTGGCATATGGTGAGAAATAACCAGGCTATAGAGAGAACAAGAAGAGACCTACAGCATCTCTAAATATTAGATCTATCAGACACAGACATTAAAATAACTGTGCCTAGTGTGTTCATAGAAATAAAAGATGGAAATTTGAGTTTTTGCAGAGAACTGGGAAGTAAAGAAAATCCAAATATATATTCTGGAATGAAAAATACAATTTCTGAGATGAGGAATTCATTGGATGGACTCAATAAATTAAATGCAACAGAAGAAAAAAAATTAGAGACTTGGAACGTAGGACAGAAGAAAATATCCAGAGTGATGCATGGAGACAAAAAAAGTTGAAAAAAAAAGAGAGAGGGTGAGGGACATGGAGGATAAAGTGAGAAGGTCTCATATATGTGTGGTTGGAGTCTCAGAAGGAGAGGAGAGATGAGTCAGAAACAACATCCAAAGAGAGAAGGACTATCAGTTCCCCAAAGTAACAAAAGACATCAAACCATAGATTCAAGAAGCTCCAAAAAACCCAAGCAAATAAAGAGAAACCCATACTTAGCCATATTGTAGTATTGTTGAAAATAAAAGACAAAGAGAAAACCTTAAAATCAGCTGGAGGAAGAAAAAAAAGAAACAAAAACAGTAGATGCTGGAAGACCTGGCATATCTTTAAAAGTTCCAAAAGAAAAGAACTACCAATTGGGAGTTCTAAGCCCAGTGAAATACATATCTAGAAGGAAGGTGAGAAGAGAGATTCCAAATAAACAAAGCTGAGAAAATTTATTACTAGTACCCTGGAGGAAAATATTTCCAGAAATAGGAAATATTAAAATGGTATTCTTCAGGCAAAAAGAAAACAGTGACAGATGGAAGGTCAGGAATATAGGAGGGCATGAATTTAATAAGAAATGTAAACATGTAGGTAAATGAAAACCAGCTGTGTGAAACAAAGTGATATATAATATGTAACAATAATGTCTTCTGGGCATATATGTGTATGTATATACACACATTTAAAATACACAATGACGGTAGCATATGAGATCTAAGTCAGGAAGAGGATGAATGGAGTTAGTGTCCTTGCATTGTCTGAGAAAAAGGTAAGAATATCAATTAATGTTAGATGTTAAGTCATGGATGCTTGTTGTAATCTAGGGTGACCACTAAAAGATTAAGTGTCGGCTGGGCGCGGAGGCTCACGCCTGTAATCCTAGCACTCTGGGAGGCCAAGGCAGGAGGATTGCTTGAGCTCAGGACCTCAAGACGAGCCTGAGCAAGAGCGAGACCCCGTCTCTACTAAAAATAGAAAGAAATTAGCCAAACAACTAAAAATAGAAAAAAAAAATAGCCAGGCACAGTGGCTGGTTCCTGTAGTCCCAGCTACTCGGGAGGCTGAGACAGGAGGATCGCCTGAGCCCAGGAGTTGGAGGTTGCTGTGAGCTAGACTGATGATGTCACAGCACTCTAGCCCAGACAAGAGAGTAAGACTCTGTCTTAAAAAAATAAAATAAAATAAAAAAGTGTGTATAATATCCAAGTTAATAGAGGAGAGAAGGTAGTAAAATATTACAAAATCTAAAAGAAGAGAGAACAAGAGACAAGGAATATAGGAATATATATGCCTTCCTATATTCCTGACCTTCCATATGTCACTGTTTTCTTTTTGCCTGACGAATACCCTTTTAATATTTCCTATTTCTGGAAATATTTTCCTCCAGTGAAGGTAATATAAATACCTAGTATATATCAGAAAATACGTAGTATACCTGAAAATACCTAGTATATATCAGAATAACGTTAAATGAAAAAGGACCTCACATGCCAATTAAGGCAAAAAAGTGCCAGATTAGCAACAACAAAAATATAACCGAGTGGAAATGGGGTAGAAGGTATAGAAAGGGGGAGTGACACTTACTTGTTTTCACCTTTTTTGTGTAATTCTGACTTTTGGAACCATATTAATATTTCCTATTCATCCCCTCCTAATCAACAAGGGTGCAGGGAACCCTAAATTAGAATACCAATAGGCCGGGTGCAGTGGCTCACGCCTGTAATCCTAGCACTCTGGGAGGCCAAGGCGGGTGGATTGCTCAAGGTCAGGAGTTCGAAACCAGCCTGAGCAAGAGTGAGACCCATCTCTACTATAAATAGAAAGAAATTAATTGGCCAGCTAATATATATAGAGAAAAAAAAATTAGCCAGGCATGGTGGCGCATGCCTGTAGTCCCAGCTACTTGAGAGGCTGAGGCAGCAGGATTCCTTGAGCCCAGGAGTTTGAAGTTGCTGTGAGCTAGGCTGATGCCATGGCACTCATTCTAGCCTGGGCAACAAAGCAAGACTCTGTCTCAAAAAAAAAAAAAAAAAATTGGAATACAAACGATACGTGAACCTAATTATTGTAAATAAATAATATAATTATACTAAAGGGAATAGAGACAGAAAAGAACCAGCCTAAGTAACTTTTGAACACAGTATTTTGACTCTGCCTTCTCGCTAAAGACAAAAAAGAATACTGAGAAGACATAACTGAGTTCTAGTTAGTAGGTTTTTTTATACAATGGTGTGGGTTACAATTCTGAAATTGCTTTCTCTGAAGTTTAGCATTGATCAAATTAAGTACATTGTAAATAATGGGAGCAAGGTTTCTGGGGGAAGGCTAGGATGAATCCTCCGTTGAATTGGGATTGAAGTATCTCTTATGAATGTTTGGTTTTGGATAGAGAAACAGATATGAGGGTGTGTTTGCATGTACATGTGCGTTTCTTGATTGATCTGCTGAGAGGACCTACGAGCAGAGGCACCAGTAGCAGTGAGCACACCTGGTACCCCGATCTTGGTTTCTAAATACTATTCTCCATGAAAAGGTATCAGAACTCATTGGAGAAATGGGCGATTCTAAGGCTGCATCTGGGCCTAGGAAAGTGTAAGATGAGCCTGGAGCATCATATTGTGCCCGAAAGGAAGTGCTCAAAGAATGATAGTAACATGTCCAGAGGATGCAGGCGTCAGCTTGAAGGGGCTCCTGTTGGCCAAATCTGGAATGTTTTCGATCATCAAAATGAGTAACAATAGTAATTGGTTATAAACCATTGAATAAAATGAGAATCTATAAGGCCAAACTGATATGAGTGAATGAATGAATACATAAATAAGGAAGAAGGGAAAGGTCTTCATTATAGTAGAAGGCCAGCTATCAAATGGGAGAAGGAATGATGGAATTAGAAAATCAGTGTCGTCAGCCCTGTGATAATTAATTCAGGCAAGCGTGATGAGAAAAGGATATTTACATAATCTCAAAGTATCTCACTCTAATATACCTATTAATTACAAAGGGAAAATAGCAACTTTACAAGGGAAAAACCTGGTAGATGTCACCATAACCAAGTGATCAAAATTAACAATTATTAGCAATGGGACAAATAGATATCATGATACACTGAAGGGACATAATATTCCTTCTGTGGCATTTGTTCCAAAAACGTATAGCCTGAATCTGATTGTAAGGAAACATCAGATAAACCCAAATTAAGGGACATTCTACAAAATAGCCTTTGCCCTTCAAAAAATGTTAAGGTCATGAGAGACAAAGACTGAAGAGCTATTTCAGATTAAAGTGGACTAAAGAGATAGAACAACTAGATGTAACATGTAATTCTGGATTGAATCCTGGACTAGAGAACGTTTTCTTTTAAAGGTCATTACTTGGACAGTTAGAAGAATTTGAATAAGGTCTGTCGATAAGATTATAGTTTTATATTGATGTTAATTTTATGATTTTTATAATTGTGCCATGGTTATTTAAAAGGGATATCAAGTCTGCAACATACTCTCAAGCAGTTCAGGAAAAAATAGACGTGTGTTTAGAGAGAGGAGGAACACAGATGCAGAGTGTCCTGCCCCTCCCCCAGAGGGGAGGCACATACCCTTTTCCTTTGCTGGCCAGGTAGGTGGCTGTCAGAGGTGGTGCTGGGTTGCAGCTAGTTACTTTCCCGTCACCTCTGGTTTCAAATGCATGGAGGATGGGGTCCACCATTCTGTGTATGTTACAGGCCTCCCTTCTAGCCAGGACTTCAAGATCTAAGCGACACCATCTTTGTGTCTAGAGAGCAGGGCCTCTCACATTATTTTTTCTTCTTCAGAAGTACCCTGGCTATTCTTGGCCTTTTCAGTTTACATTTACATTTTAGAATTGTCTTGTTAAGTTCCCCAGCTGAGTGGAAGAATGGCTCCCGTATTTGGCCATACATACCTTTGGCTGTGTTGTCTGTCTTCCAGCTTTTCAGAAGAGCTGGTAGATGAAGCGCTGGGGACCGTTGCTGCCGAACTTCAGGATATGTGTGAAGATTATGCAGAAGCTGTGTTCACCTCAGAATTCTTAGAGGCTGCTACGTGAAGGCTCTCCAAGGCGGGGCCCGTCGTATCACACTGGAGAAGGGACAGCACCATCCTTGTGTTAGCCCACAGGAAGTCGTTATCCTCAGCTGTCCGTCTGGCCAGAAGGTGCTGCCCACTGAAAGGAAGGAAATGCTGATGAGATCGTCCTCACGTTGCATTTTCTCTTTGTCATAGCAATGGTTCTGGAAGTTTATGATGGAATGTTGTTACATTTATCAGTGCCCAAGAAATGTGAATTGATTAACACAATATTTTCAGAATGTATGATTTTTCTATTGAAAATCCTATGTTCCTTCCTCTGGCTTAGTTTGGTGGTCACAGTGTTCTGAAGGGTTCAGATTCCTGTTGAACCCACGGCTGGCGTTGATGCCAACACAAGTGCAGTCACTATCTGGTCCCATCACCAAGCTCATGTTTCACATCTTTGGCGATTTCCTGCCAGGACCCCTGTCCCTGCTAGGTGTAGACTTAGGTGGAGCACAGTTTGCTTATGCTGCCAAACCTCTGCTCTATTGCAGCTTATTAAAAAGAGTAGCCCCACAGTTGTCAGTGCACAATAGTAAACACATTTCTTTAATGTTCAATTCCTAGGTGATTTTTCACATTTTTTGTTCTTAAATGTTGCTGTGTGTTGACACATTCTGGTATAAAAAACTTTCTCTGAATTCAGAGGAAGTTGGGGACATCAGGAGAGGACCGGGCCTTCTCCTGTGCCTGGTTAAAGGCAACCAGCTCCTTCTTTCTCTGATGAGATCAGAAACTTGTACATTTCCACACCATGCGGGACCCCCATGTGGGAGGGGAGAGAACAAAAAGGAGGATGGTGTGTAGACTTCTGTGTCTCCCCAGAGAAAGGAAGAAACTTTAGAAGCACAGCTTGGTCCTCAAATGCCTTACAAGTCCTGTCTTACCAAGAGAAAAGCCTCTGTGTTTTCAGAAACTCTGAATTCAGAAAAAGTAAAGGAATGTGCATAAGAATAAGGCCTGCTTGGAAAAAGTTTTCCTCAGTTTTTTGCCTGAGGCTTGGTCAAAGAAATGTGGAAAAAGAATGCCAGGAGACACCCCCCAGGGAATAATGTTATTCTTTTTAGAACATACAGAGTGTTGCCATCTGGGATTTTTCTCCAGAGTACGAGTATTTCAAGTGATAATTTAAGCTGCTTGATCACACTTATTTGTGCAAAATTGATTTTCATTTAATGTTAATGTTTTCCTGCTTAATTTTATATAACTTAAGAAGTTAAAGAGCTTCAAGGGAAATTACAGGTCTTTAACCCGGGGAGTTAAATATGTGCACTTGAATTGATAGGAGCACCTGTCATTGCTAGTATCAAGTAATTTGTGTGGCAGTTTTTACTGTACTGATTTTTTTTTTAATAAACTCAATATTTTAAAGTATGTACATGTCTATTTGAAATAATTTACATGTCCTTTTTTTCCCACAGGCAAGTGGCATGTGATTTACAGGAACCACTCAGAATACGCTTATATTTGATACGAGCGTAGTGGATTATTTGCTACCACTCCCTCCTCTCTGAGAAATAAATAAATGTTAATAAAAGCTAACATTTACTGAGCACATGCCAGAGCACTGCTCTAAGTGCTTTCCATGTATTAACTTACTTAATCCCTTCACATCTGTGTGCGATGGATGGATATACCATTATTATTACTCCCATTTATAGATGAATAAAATGAGGCACAGGAGGAGATAATTTAATTAAACAAGCCTATGTTCCATGATGCTGTGGTCACGGCTCCACTTGTTCCCATAGAGGTAATGATAGCCATTTTGAGAGCTCATCCGAGTGCGTTTCCCTGCCCCTCCTGCACACTCTTCTCTGGAGCAGTCCCTTTCCTCAGCACTGCCTCCCGCAGCCGGTCCACTGGGGGTCAAGTCCTGACTCGCTGCCTCGTTTCAGGAGCTTTCCAGTCTCTGCTGCTGCTCCCACCGGTGGGTCTCCCCTGTGTGACTCAGGTGGGCGAGGCTTCCACCTGCCACCTGTCCAGGTGTCTGCTCTACAGCCCTGGCACACAGGGAACCTCTGCAGCCAGAGCATTCTCCAAAGACACAAAAATAAACCACAGGAAATAAAAACCTGTATTTGAAAATGAAAGTTGAATTCTTAGAAAACAAAGAGTTCGTGTTTATAGACTTACAGCCAGACCTCTAGAATTTTCGTTCTTCACAAACAAGGGCTGGTCATGCGTAAGCCGTTCTCTTAATTCCCTTCAGTTTCCTCACAACCTATTCCCGTGCTATTTTCAGAAGCAGAGACAGTGATGAGTTTAGTGTGTTCATGTTGCATAAGCCGTCCGGAGTCGCTGAAATGCACACGTACGGATTGAGCTGTCCGCGTCACAGCCCTGCTTCTGCCGGGCTTTCACTCGTTCCCACGCTTGCCTCTAGGCTGGTTAGCTCCCTGAGGGCAGGGACTCTGCCTGGCATGCGGTTGGCGCTCAGTAAATTCTTCTGAATTAATGGAAGAAGGAAGGCACACATTTTGGGAGGATCGATTATGTACAGGAGATCAACACCTCCCAGCATAGTCCACAGAAATCTATGCTGACCTTTTGTGCCCCTGAAACAGAATGCCATCTGAGAGAAATACAGATCCCATCTCGGAGGTGCTGCTGCCATTGGAATCCCAACTCAGATGGCAAGAACCGCCTCCCTCCTCCTAGAGTGGGGGGTGTGCCTCTCGCCTGCCCTTAGCCAGCCTCGGTCAGAGTGCTGCTGGGAGGGGACTGCAGAGGAGGACAGAGAGATGTGAAGGAGGGACCACAGGAACAACTCCCTTCCCTGCCTCTTGTGTCCTTTATCCTCTGAGCTCTGTGGTCCCTCCTCCCTGGGCCTGTTGGTGCCAGGGGCAGGGGAGCGTTGGGAGTTGGAGGAGAGCAGGTGAGGAAAGAAGGCTTCTCTCCTGCCCGCTCCCTGGTGGGCTGAGTGTGTGGGCGGGAGTGGCCACAAACAGGGTCTGAGAGGCAGGAGTAGTGGCCTGTGCAAAGCCCCAGAGGTGGCAGCAAGGGATTGGTTGGAGTCAGAGAGTTGCCTGTGTTCTCTGTGGCACAGTGTAGGTTTCTGTAGTTCTTCTAGGCTTCTGAGAGGAGCACTGTTTATTTTAGCAACTTGGGGCAGTGATGAGAATTCCCTGCAAAACCCGTAAATCAGGGGTGTCTGTGTCACCGTGGGCTTGTTATCACCACTAAGTGCCCTTTGGGAGGGCCGGCCTCCTGAGAGCTCCCGGTGCTCTGGGCTTGGAGAGCAGCAGAAAGGCAGCGGCCTGTCCGTGTGTCTCCATGAATGAATAGTGGCCTTCTCCCAGTCAGCTCTGCGGGCCCAAGGCAGAGATTCTGGTCTGTTTCAACACTGGCATGTTTGTTAGTTGGCCGAGCCCAATAATGTGGGCCTGGGCTGGAAGAGACATCCTGGGTGCTTCCTATCAGTCCTCAGTACGGGGCCCAGGAAATCCCAGATGGGGACCGTGGGTTGGCTGTCAGGCCCAGGTGACCTCAATCAACCGATCCATCAGTACTGTCCCACTGACCTGGAGGGCACAGCTCTGACGGCCAGACTCGGCTGGCTTCCACGGTCAGGCCTCCCCCACCTTCAGCTCTAGAACTGGTTACCCTGGTACTGGATGCCAGGCTGCCTCGGACCTCTGCTCTGCTCTCCCCAGTCTTCCCAAGCCTGTGCCTGCCCTCCCAAGTAACCCCCTCTCTCCGCCACCCTCCCGAGGGTCCCCTTAGCTGTTCTTTTGCTCTTCTGTCTGGTGTCCCTCATTGTCTTCTTGAGCCAGACCTGCTGCCTCTTTCCATTGTTCCCGGTTGACTTCCCTCCATGGGGGGAGGGGGGGGGGGACTTCCTCTGTGGCCTGCGGTTGGGTCCGTGCATTCCCACCCCCGAGCCTTCCCCTCCTAGCTCCCCAGCACGTGTGTCCAGATGGGCTCTGCCGTGTCCTGCTGCCATGGAATACGTAGGACACCACCTTCCACCTTTCACTGAGCCTGGGCTCTCCATGGGTCTGCTGTAGCGGCTGCCCCTTCCCATTTCTCTCTGAGCATCCAGAAAGAACGGTATCTCCTTGCTTCCATTGTTTCTTCCGAATGGGTCACTCCCAAGCCATTCGAATATGCCACCCTTGCCTCCCCGGTGGTGTCATTCATTTCCCATGACCCTCTGGGTCTCATAGCTTTCATCCCTCCCTCCACCCATCCAGTATCCCCCCCCCCCCCCCCCCCCCCCTAAAACCTTTGTGAGAACCTTTCGAAGTCTTTCTTGGTGGTTTCTGGACCATCTTTACACACAAGAGCACCCTTATGCCATCCTCAGAGCCCACTATGGACATCACTGAGACACTGCCCACCTGTGTGTCCTCATCTCTGAAACCCGCTCTGGTGACCATTGGCCTTTTGCTTTTATCACAACCCTCCACCCCGTCCCCTTGTGCTCTCCCCGCTTGGGATCTGTTCTCTCGTGTTCCGCACCCTCCCCCACCCCCCTTCCTCCAGCCTCCCCCCGGACCTAGTCATGCGTTTCCCTTCTGCGTTGCTTGGCTCCGGAGAATCTCACCCGCCCACACGTTGTTCCTCTGTCTTCTCCGTCCGTCTTGGTGAGGTCAGCCGAAGACGTCCCACTCATGGGCTGCAGATCCCTGTAGATGGTCACCATGCCTGTGCCGAGAAGCCCACTGCACGTTCTTGCCACCCGCCAGAGTGGGGCCTTCCGCACTCCGAGTCTATCTCCCGACTGGCTCCACGTGAAGTGGGAGAATTCCGGGGGGGACTCTGGCTCTGCAGTGCTGTGAGCTAGAGGGACAGGAGCACGTGGATGCTGGACCTCTGGCCTCTGCCATCTGCCCCACAGCCCCGGAGCTCCCTGAGCCCAGGCTGAATTTGCCCTGGGCAGCCCCCAGCAGACACTGATTGCTCAGGAGCGCAAGGGAAGCAGGCAGTCCAGGGAGCTGTGGAGAGCTAACCGGCCACCAGAGCTCCTGCAGCCACTGTCCTCCCTGGCCCTGAAGTCCTCCTGAGAGAGGGTCCCGTCTACAGGCCAGGCTCAGTAAGAGGGGGCTCTGCTTGAGCACAGTTGTGCAACACGCTGCTTTGGGAGAGTTACTAGAGGCCAAGAGAAGTTACATAAATCCTTTGGATTTAACATCTCACATCTGTCTAGCATTGTACAATGCACACAATGCCTTTAAATATATTCTTTCTGTAGATCACTATAACCCTCCTCCCCCGCCTTGTGTTCCAGCAGTAACACGGCCAGAATTTGAGCTGTGAGTTAAAACCCTGTGTGACTTCCATGCCTCAGTTTCCTAATCTGTGAAATGGGGATAAAAATAGTACACAACCAGGGGCTCTTGTGAGGATAGAAGGAAACATCCATGAAAGCACTTAGCATAGCACCTGGCAGATAGTAAGTGCTCAATAAATGTCACCTATTAGGTGTGTTGGTGAGACCTCCCAAGGAGGAGCCTTTCGGCTTGTGCTCACAGGCGTCGTTCCAGAGCACTCTCTTGCCGCCTGCTACCTGTTGCGACTCTTCCCGCTTACGTCTGTGTCTCGCCTTGCCTTGCCCTTCCAACTGGACACTTGGCGACACTGTTCCCTGCCTCGCCCGTGGCTGCCCCGAGCAACACATCCGCTGGGTCAGCTTGGGCTGCCTCGGGGCTCCAGGGCTTCCGGTACCACCAGGACCTTCTAAACTGGGCCGCATGCTTACAGGGCAGCCCAAGTATTAGCCCCAATTCACAGATGAAAACTTGAGGTTTATAGAAATTAAGGGGCATGCTTAGTGTCGTCCAGACACAGCGACAGAGCTAGAACTCAGTGCAAATCTTTTGACTTCGAGTCTAGTGTCCTTTTTCATTCTGTCACACGGTGTTGTCTTTCTCCCAAGTAGTGGTTCCTAGATGGCCTAGGAAAATCTTAGCAGATGTCACGTGTGAGTGCAATCTCCGTGTTTCAGAAACCAGCGGATACTTCCTACGGTCCTGCTCTTTGCCGGGCACTCTGCTGCTTAGTTCTGAGCATATGAAGATGACCAAGGTGTACTCCTCACCTTCCTAACACAGCCTGGCGGTGATCCGGGCGGAGCTGAGCCGTGCCTCAGTTTCCATGCACCCGTCACAATCTGCTTCCCCCGTGCCACACAGTCCTGCTGGTGCCGGACCCCGCCCACAGAGCAACGGTTGTGACGCCCTGAGTGCGTGCTCCGTACCACCTTTGTTTACATACCTCACTTGATCTCACACCAGCACTGAAATAGAGATTATTAACCCATTTTACAGATGGAACTGAAACCAAACAAAGTGGAGATTTTTTTTTTTTTCTTTCTGAGACAGGGTCTTGCTCTGTCACCCTGTCTAGAGCGCAGGGGCATCATCAGAGCT